TCAATTGTTTTATTAATATTTACTATTGAAGATTTTTCTAGAATTATTTCTAATGAAGAAAGAAGATGTTGTCCATAACAAGCACAATAATGATCACAACTTTCATTTTCAGATACAAATACATTATTATAACCTTCAGATGATGGCCATAAACGACGATCCAAACTAATTTCTTCTTCATCTTCATCACTTGAATGAATATCACTTAATAAATCATTAAATAAATTCACAATAAGATTAATAAATAAATCACTTGATGAATATAATAATGCATCATTTGTAAAATATTCAAATAAAACATTTTGTGTCAAATAACAATTAGCACCAAATACACCTAAAACAAAAATGATTCTAAACAAAAAAAAAGACAAAAAAAAAAAAACTCCAAATAACCTGAAAGACGTTTATCATTAATAATCAATGGAATCGTTTTAATAAATGTTTCTCGAACAGTATCAGATGAAAATGAAGATAATTTTAAAATTAATCCCCAATATTGACATTTACGTTCCGCTAAAGAAAACAATAAAATAAATTGAAAAAAAAAAGAATAAAACAATAATAATAACCATTTGATGAATCATATAAACATGATCGAGCTTTACTAAGAAGATTAAGTATAGCACAAGCACATTCATCACTACTTTCATCATTAACAAAATCATTCATTCGATCATAAACAAGTTTAATCAAATCTTCTTGATTAGTTTTTGATGGCAAACATAGAGGTAATAATTCACTAATTAAATTAAAACTTGCTGCTAGACTCATTGGACTAAACGAGAAAACGTTTTTTTGTCTATTCAAAAAAAAACAAAATTATATAATTACCGTCTTAATTTTTCAATTAATTCAACAATTCGTCTAGTTAAACGTTCATAATTATGTGTTTTATCAATCATTTTAAAAAGTAATTCACATGCCTAAAATAATGTTTTTTTTTTCTTAGGATTTAAATAGAAAAAACAAAAAAAAATAATATTTTGATTACTTTGGTATATAGTTGTTCATTAAATAAATCCATAGTTAATAATAAATCTGTAATCCATTGTCGAATATTATTTTCAAATAACGATAAATTATTTTCTAATAAAAGTGTTTCAATAAAACATAATTCTGTTCGAGTTTGTTTAACAAAAAGAAAAAGTTTTAATTGAATTTCAATATTTTCAAGACGAATTATTAAACGTGTTAATATACGAGTTAAATCATCAATTCCAATTGTTATTTTATCAACATTTTTTAGAATATTATTTATATATTTATTTATCTTATTTGTTAATTCATTCGAACTTATTTGACAATGAATATTGTATAATAATTCCAAATAACAATATTGTGTTAGAGAACAATTATTTCTATAATTAACAATAGAGAATATTCGATTAATATTTTCATCAATATATCAAAATAGAATTTATAGAATATTAGAAGATTTCAAATATTCTATACTCTTTCATTTTCCTAACTGAATAAAAGTCAATAAGAAAAATTCAATCGAAATTGCTAATTGATGTTTATTTAAGATGACAAGATTCTTTTTTCTAAACATATTTTTATTGATAAAAAAATATTCTTCATTCAATCTTAAAACTAATTGATCATTTTTTTAAAATCTATCTGTTAATCCTTGAATTCTTAATACACTTAATTTAATGAATGTTTCTAGTTTTCAACAAGAGACTTTATTTTAATTAATTCGAAATGAAAATTTGATAAGAATAAACTCTAAATGTCATTAGTTGACTTTTTTTTAAAAATATATTCTTCTATTATTTAATTTATTGTATCTATATGATAAAAATCATTTTGTTTTGTAAACTCTTTTGAATAAAATAAAAATAAACAAAAACTAAGATACTAACTGATAAATGCACCATTGAAGTGATGAAAGCATTTCTTTTAAACTAAATGATGAATCAAAATTAAATTGAAGATTATTCTTTTTCATTGATTGAAATATTGCATTTATCTAATTAAATAAAAACAAAAATAATAACAAGAAAAATTTTATTTATGAAATATTTTTAAGATAAAATACTTGTAATAAACGACCATGAAGAGTATTTTGTCTAATATTATCTTTTGATTGTTTCATTAATTGATTTATTTGTTGATGAATTATAGTTGAATATTGATCATGATGAATTAAAGCTAATAAAGCTTTTGATGAATGTTCTCGTATACGTAATAATGGAGATTCTTCACATCTATACTTATTTTAGATTAAAAATTTATTTATAAGAAAAATAAAAATAATAAATTTTCTTACTTAATAACAAATGGTAAAAGTTTATCTAATGTTAATGAACAATCAATTCCATCAAGTGGACTTGGATAAAGACGACGAAGAATTAAAAGTATAGCAAATAAACATGATGATGATAAGGATTCAATTGATGAACGAGTACTTAAATAAATAAAATAATTATATTTGATGATTTATTCATAGTCAAAAATAAAAACAGAAACAGAAACTAAACCTTGTTGTTTGTTGTAATTGTTGATAAAATAAATGAAATAATGATGGATATTTATTAAAGAATTCTCTTGAAGTCATACTATTTTTTTTTGATAAATTATCTTCTCCATCTTTTGTTTTCGATGGACCAAATATTCTTTGAACTATTGTTGATAATAATAATGTTGCACTATTTCTTATCATCCATATTGATGATGTAAAACCAGTTATTGATAAATGAAGACCACGTTCAATATATGGATAAACATCATTTGAAAATCGTTGATTACGATAAAATGAACGAACCGTATTGTATGCATGAATCTATTTACAATTTTTATTTATTTATTTAATTATATTTTTGACTAGAAATAGGATTTGATAAATCTTGATCTCAAGTATACATATAAGATCGATCAACTTTGATACAACGAATTTCGCATGAAAACATTGATTGTTTTTTTCTGATATACTCGAAAAAGGTTTTTTTTAATTATTTTCTGGTTATTTACTATTTTTATTAAATAAATGTTCACATATCTATACTATCTGATTAATAGAATATATCATTTTCGATGAAGTCTTAAGATACATAGATCTTTAAAGTTAAATATGAGACGAAAAGAATTGACTCAACTATGTTTTAATTGTAAGTGGCCTTTTTTTCCTAGTAATGTAATTTTTTAACAACCAATCTATCAAAATTCAACTGCATTGAAAAATTAATGGCTGAAACTACAGGCTAAGTCATCTAATAGGTCTTAACAGATTAAATTCATGTATAGACTATTGAAATATAATCGATTAATGACATATTTTCTAAGAATTAAAACAAATTCTTATTTATCATACGTAAAAATAAAAAAAATAAATATGTTAACGATTAATTGATTGACTATATTTCATGGATAAATAAGTAAATTATCTTATTAATCTTCACTTCTGGACACACTATCTATCGTTAGTCAATGCTCTAACCTTGTCAATATCTACAATATTTACTAGTGTTGAAAGATAAGTTATCTTTTACAAGAATAAACTATAATTTAAAAAAGAAAAAGTTTTTCAGTTCGTTATATAAATACTTTTCGACTATTTTCTAAAATTTGTCCATCTATTTGTATTGTATCTGGATCATTTTGAATAATATTTAATAAAGTATCCATTAATTTAGCAACATATGTTCTTTGTTGTCCACGTTGTTTAATTGGTTCATCTGTTAATATTGATTGAAGATAAAAAGGTAAACCACCTGATCGTCGTGTTAAACATAATTTATTTTTATCAAGACTATTTTCTTCAACCATTTTTATTCCATTTTCAATCCATTTTATTGGTAAATTACATAAATCATCACAATTTGCACTAATATATTTAATTAAAATAAATTTTATATACAAAAAAGAATAAAAAAAAATTTGCTAAAACCTCCAAAGTTGTTCACAAATAATAAGAAAACCTGTATAAGCTAATTCATATGCACCACAATGACGAGATTTTAATAATTGTTCCATATAATAATCACATATAATATGAACCTAAACAAGAAAAAAAATATAAATCTATCTGATTGTTTATTTAATAATGAAATAACAAACTTGTTTTAAACTAATAAATCTATATTGATTTTCATTTTGAATATATTTTATTCCAATTTGTCCCAAACGACTAAATAATAATGAAATTTCTTTAATTGTTCTCCAACAACATACTAATAACATTTGAGATGTTATTTGTCCATTGGAATTTTCATCATCATCATCATCTTTTCCACAAACTATAGAGAATAAAAAAGCAATATATAATTATATTTATTAAATAAATAACAAACTCTCAGTAAGTTCCATAGGCATCATTCCTTCAGGTGATGATGAACTAACGATTGGACCAGTTAATGAAGCTATTTCTAAACATAATTTAATTAAATGATCAAATAATATTCTCCATTGATTTATTTCTTGTTCATTTTCATATCTAAATTTAAAAAAAAACAAACAAAAATTTATTATAATAATAATATGTTATGTGTTTATATTTGAATATTTACTTATCATCATGCATAATAGTTAAAAGTGCATTAATACCACTTAAACAACCATACATAGGTCCATTTTTTGCAGCTTGAAATAAATTAATTTTAGCTTGTTCTACTTCATTATCTAATCTTTTGGTTATATGATTAATTAATAAATAAATTTGATCATATGATTGTTGATTATCATAATTAATTATTTGTTGAAGATTTTTATTATTTATTTTAGCAATACATTGTACAAGTGTTGCACCACTAGCTGTTTCAGGTGGTTGTGTACTTGATAATAATTGTAATATTCGATTAAATAATATTCCAATTCGAAGGTCATCATAGTTGCTAGCGACCTATTTTAAAAAGATAAACGGAGTAAAGGAAAGAGAGAAAAAAAACACAGTAATGTGCATTTTTCTTTATCATTGCAGTTATTCTAGTGTACTAATAGGTTTTTGTTTTTGTTTTATATGACAAAACACGTTTAGATTTATATTTTGGTAAGAGAAAAGAATGTCGTCGGAATGTTCAAATAAAGATTGGATTATTGAATTAAATGTTCGTCCAAATTCAATGTCTCCTATTGATCCACCATCATATGATGAAAATGAAAATGATTCTCGTATTTTATTCTCAATATATTCCATGACATTAGGAGAAAGTTTTTCATCACATAATATTGATTCTTATATTCTTGATCATATTCAAATTGAAAAAGAATGTTCACAACAAGATGATTTAACGTTAGTTTGGTCTGATGCTATTTCATTGACATTATGTTTTTTAGCAAGTTTAGCTCATCATGGAGATTATTCACAAGAACATTTATTACAAAGATATTTTCAATGGTGGATGAATGGGTATAAAGATTTTTAAAAGTATTTTTACTTTTATCTATTAAATAATATTTTAGATATATGTGTCCAACTGGTCTTTGTTTTACTCCACATGTTGATATTAAAAAATCTATTGATTTATTTGGTGAAACTCAAGCAGCTCAAGCATTAGGTATAGAAGTTGATATAGAAAAAAAAACCTATGGTCTTTCACCAAAACCTGCAGCATTACTTCGTTTATCTCCAATTAGTTATTTTTATTCAAAACATTCTTATTCAAAACGTCTTGAAATTATAAAAGATTGTGTTAAAAGAATGTTTGGAAAATCTACATCAATTGATGTATTTGTTGCTTATATTGAATTACTTGTTAATGCTCTTAATGGTTTTTCAAAAGAAGATATTATTCAATCAATTAAATTAAAACAAAATTCAAATGATTCTTTAAATAAGATTTTTTTTCTTTTAATTAATTTTATTTCAAATGATAATAATAATATTGAACAAGGTCTTCAACGTGCTTTAAAAATGATATATATACAACAAAAAGAATGTAAATATCTTAATCCTTATGATTCAGATGAAACTATTCTTTTAACACTTTATTTACAAATAAGTGGAGCTCTATATAATTCTATTCCTGATCAATGGTTTAAAAAAATCTATGCAAGAAAAACAATTGAATCTTTAACTAAATGGATTATTTATGAAAGAAATCAAAACTTACATTCAATTTAATGATTATATCAAGAGAATATTGACGAATATCTTCATATGTATCCCATAAACAATTAAATAAATATTCCATTGAATTTTCATTAATTAATTCATCAAATACGTAGAGTTTTAATTTTTCTTTTATAGATATAGAAAAGAAAATTTTCATTTATATATTAATAAAATAAATAATAAACTTACGACAAACAGTTTCTATTCCTTGATTTCCATGTAAATAAATTAACCAATGAAGAATTAAAATAGATAAATGACGTTGAGCATAAGATCCTTCCAAATATAAATTTGAACAAGACCAATTTATTAACCATTTCAAATAATTCTTTATAAACAAAAAGTATTTTATTGAAAAAAAAAAAGAAAAAAAAACTTGAAACAAACTCTATATCGTTCTGTTAAATCATCAAAATCTTGATCAGTTTTTTTTAATTTTTGTCTTGCACAATATAACCAACTATCTTTTATGCGAATAAAATGCTAAAAGAATATTAATCAGTTCAATATGTTAAAAGAAGGAAAAAACAAAATACTTTTTTAATTAAAGATAAAACTTGATTTCTAAATGATGTTGAACCATTATCAATATTCATTTGAAGAAAATATTTAATTAATTTAAATTCAATTTGACTTATATATTCTGTTGTTTTTGGATTTTCACAAAGAATAAATAAACAATCAAGACAAATCTAAATAATTTTTTATATTTTAAAATAATAAATAAATAAAAATATTTCTAAATACTTGTTCATCTTCACTTGTTATTCCTTGACGAATTAAATCATCTTCAATAAATCGATTAGATGAAAATATATTTGGACATAAACCTAATGTTCGACCAATACGTGTACAAACAATTAATGTTCGAGGATTAACTATTAGAAAGAAAAAAACAAACAACCAAACAATATTTATATTTATTTTTCAAAATTTACTTGTCAGTTCTTTTAATTCTTGTAAATATTCTGGATGACCTTTTAGAATTTTTGGTAATATATACTAAAACATATATTTTATTTATTTAATTAAAATTTAAGAACCACTAAAATATACTTCAGCAATAAGAAATCTATGTAATGGTGTTGATGTATCAAGTGCATCAACAACTGGTTTTAACCAAATTTGTTTCCATTTATCGATTGATTTTTCTTCTTCTCGATGTTTATGACATAAAACACAATAAAGATAACTTGCCTTTAAATATATATATATAGAGAGATAATATAGATTCTATTTAAATAAAAAACAAAATTACTTCTGATGCTAATCCTCGATCATTCATAGCCATAAGACATGATTCAGCTAATTTTGTATTCCATTTAATAATATCAGTTACAGATAAATATTCAATAAGTGTATGATATGCTAATGAACAACCATCTTTTTGCCATGGAAGTTGTTTTAATAATGTTAATTGAGAATCAATTATTGATTGACGAATATCACCTTCAAATAGGATTTGTTTATTATTAAGAAAATATTTATTTCAATAAAAAAAAAAGTTATTTTTCGTTTCAATTTCATCTTTTAACAATATTCAAATATCTATGAGAATATATTATTATATATATAGAAGTCTATTTCAAATATCAATAAAGAGTTTACTAACAAATCTATCACTTAATTAGAACTTTCTATCTTTTTAAAAAAAAACATACAATGATTCATGCTTATTTTGAAACTATTTGAATATATATTTGCTGAACAATGTCGAACAGTCTAAATAAAAACTAAAATTCAATAATAAATCTTTCTAATTAAAATATAAATTACTTCAACATTGTAACTAAAATGATCCCAAGCAAAAGTTAATAATTTTTCAATGATATTTTTTAATGATTCTGTATGAAGATTACGCCATGAAGAACTAAAAAGAACAAATATATTTTATACATTAATTATATATATATATATAGTTACGTTAGAGCTTCAGAATAAGTTTCTAATGCTTTTGATACTCCAACCATAATTGTTGCATCACGTCTATCATAGAACAACAACAAAAATTCATTTAGAACATTAAAAAAAAAGAATAAGAATTTTTCATAAAATAAAAACAAACGTTTTAAAGGCAAGAACTTCTTCTAATAATTGAACAAAAAAATTAGTATCAAGTAATTTATTTGTCATTGTTGTTTTTATTAAACCAAAATATAATGATAATCGAGACATAATTACACAAGTTACTTTTTTCATTTTATTAAGCTAAAATTTAATTAATAAACAGATTATTTTAATACAAAATATTTACAAATATTAATTAACTACTTTCTCATTTGGTGATAATTGTTCATTTTCTTTTAAAAGATGCCAAACTAATGAACATGTTAAACGAATTTCTAATGTTACTGTATTTTCTAAATAATCATTTATTTTTATTTTTATTTAAATCAAATAAACAAACAAACAAACCATCATTTAACATTTGATGAATAATTCGAGGTAGAATTTCATCTCGTTCAAGTTGATCATGAACTTTGGGTAAAAGAAAAACAACAACTTTTAAATAATATTGAAGTTGTTGAAAAAGATTAAATCGATGATGTGGAACATTTGTTGATCTAAATATATATAACATTGATTTTATTCCTTCTACTCTATTTAGAATTGTTTTATGCTTTTTAAAATCATTGAAAAATAATTTGAACTTTTTAGTTATATTATTCGATTATAATCTCGATGAAATTTTTCATCAATTCAATTTTGCTTTTCTACGATATGTATAAATATTGACTTTCAATCTATGTCAATTTGACCAGACACAAAAAAAGTCAAGAAATCCTTAAATATTTATTTATTAAATTCTTTCAAGATAACTATAGAGAATGATTCAGTTGAATTTTATTATTTGACTATGATAACACTCGTCTAGGCGTAGAAAAAAAAAATGCTTAACAATTCAGATAGATAAATATCCAAAATGAAGATCTAATCTCATCAAAATTCCAAACATTATTTGCTTTTTCTTTCGTAACCGATTAACATCAATCAATCGATAGAATTTGAACAATAAAAATGACCAAAAATCTAGATTATTTGTGCAATGAGAAATAATATTAAATACTGTTATAGAAAAATCATCTTTGGAATTTTTTGACTAAACTTGTATATTCAATTCATAGAGTGATTATATATTATCAAAATAGAAAATAAAACAAATTCATCTTAATAAAATTTTTAAGAAAACAAAAAAAACAAGCTCTTACTGTATATCAAACCAAAGTTCTTGACCAATAGTAATTAATTGATTAGAAACTAAATATTAAATATATTGATAATATATTTTTGTTTAAAATTAACAAAACAAACTTGTATCTTTTATTTTCAAAACACAAACTAAACCTAAAAATAATAATTGAATTAAAAATGAAATTTTTAAAATAAATTATAACCAAATGGAAAATTTTCAATAAGATAATTTAACATAGATATATATTCAATTCTATGTTCTTTTCCTTGTCTTTTAAAAAATTCTTCTAAATGTTTTGTACATTTATCAACAACATTTTCATATTGACATTCAGCTAAATGTGAAAAACCTCTAAAAAAACAAAAAATCGAATAAAATTTTGTTTTTTTCTATTAAAATAAAACTCATACTTGACAACACATTTTCTTAAAGATGTATTTGGTGGATCAGTTGATGATGATAGAATTAATATATTAATTAATTTTTCAGATAATAATTGAATATCATTTTTATTTGATGAAGAAAATATTGTTTGACTCTAAATTCTAGTTTTTATTTATTTATTATTTATTTTATTTAAATTAAATTACTTGTCTTATTAATTCAGTTAGATTTTTATCATCATTTGGTATAACAGGTATTGGTGAAAGAAGTTTTTTTGAACGTGAAGGCATTTTATCAAAAAAAACAAAAAACAATAAGAAAAAATCTACAATGAAATGAGTAACTATTTATTTTAATTTATTGTAGAAATAAAAAATATAAAACTAAAATAATATTTTACAAAAAATAAATTTTGTTAACTAATAAAAATGATTTCATCATCTTGATTTTCAATAAATATATTTGCAAAAAACGGATTTATTTGTTTAACTTGTTCCAATTGATGTTGACCTAAATTCCAAAAATCAGTTGTTAAACGAAAATGAACTTCTTTTAAACGATCAATTCGATGAATTATACTTGATAATTGTTCAAATACATCAATTGGATGTGATGGAAATTTCATTGATATATATAACTTTTCTAAATTTGGTAAATATCCCATTAATATATCAAATATATCAAGTGATAATAAATTATATATATGAAATCGTCGAATATTTATATGTTGATAATGGCTTAAGACAATAATTTTCTCTTCATTACTGTAAACATCATCAATTATTTCAACATCAAGTCGAATTAAATTCGGACATAAACGTATTATACGACGAAAGTCAACTGATGGAATTGATAATTGAACATAAATAGAATGTAATAATGGTAAGATACAATGTTTTGGTTCTAAATATAATGAATGACTTTTTGGTAAATAAAATCTACATGAACGAAGATTATTTGATGAACTTGCACTAAATATTAATTCATAAAATGATCGAGCACTTATCGAATTTATTAAATAAATATTTGACCATATAATTGATGCATGTTCAAGATTTTGACCTATATCTAATAAATAAATTATTTGTAATATTGTTGGATCAACTATTGTTACTGATCGAACATTAATAAGTAATGGAATAAAATTAATACTTCGATGTTTTTGACCAATATAAAGACTAATTACTTTTTTAGAATATAAATAAATACATTTATCATCATCTTGACATTCAAGATGAAGATGAATATTATTTAGAGATTTTATTAAATTATTATAACGAGAATTAAGTCCAAAAAAACTTTTGTATAATTGTACACCATCAAAATAATTACTAAATATATTAAATATAACTTCATTTGGAAGTTGTTCAAAACGTGTATGCATCCTTTATTAGTTTATTTATTTATTATTTTATATCTAAACAAAATAAAATCTTTTATTCAATTAATAGTTAAAGGAAAATATTTAATTGACATATAACAAAATAGATAAGTCAAATAAAATAAAACTTATTGATTTAAATTGAATAATAGTTACATCAATATGGTTATCAATCAATAAAATAATTTAGTCGTTTTTTTTTTTATTTTTAAATACTCTCGATAAAAATTATTTCTTCAATATTAATTTAGTTTTAATAAACATTTTTCAATATAAATAAATAATGTAATATCATCAATAATCAAAATCTTGACCATGTTTACAGAATAATTTTTATTTTTTCCTCAATTATTTTATTAATCTATGAATTTCTTATCATAATTTTAAACTAATTTTACATATTATTTATATTAGATAAAATTCGTCGGATTATTCTTCAACAATCAATATTGTTTGATATTATTCAATTGATTAACAGAATTCTAATCTTTATTTCAATATGATAAATATTCGAATGAATTTTATACTCTTACAACAAAAAACTATCCTAGATAATGATAAGTGAGATCTGAAATAAAAACAATAAAATACATTTTGAAATAATTTATTTTTTAAAAGTTTGATCGTTGAAAAAAAAACAAAAGGAATTTTTAAATTTGATCTTTAATTAATGAAGATAAACATTTTAAATAAAATAGCAATAGGAGTTTTTTTTTGTTTTTTTTTTGAATATTTTTATAATAAAGAAAAATAAAAAAAAATGATAAAGACTTTTAATTGTTTTGTCAAAAACAACACAAAAAGGAACAAAAAAAATAAGATTTCGATTTTCAATGAATTTTTACAATTAGATTTTTGTTTTCTCTTTTTAATATAAATCAACTAATAGATGTTGAAACTTCATGTTGATGTGATGAAAGATTATGAGTAAAATCCCGTAAAAAAGCATCAAATTCATCGACACTTGTTATTCGTGGTAAAGAAGAAGATACTGTTGATGATGATGATGGTAAAAGATCTGATAAAAATAAATCATCAAATGTTGTTTCACTTATTGTTGTTGCTGTTGTTGAGGATGATGATGACGATGATGATGATGATGATGAATTATCATTATCAAGTAACATTTGTACAAATAAATCATCATTATCTATTGTTTGAGAATCAATTAATGAATTTTGAAAATTAAAATCAATTAAAAGATTTGATGATTGAACTTGTTCATCATCTCCTTTACTAATTGAAGTCGTTGGAAAATATTTAAGAATTTCATCTAATTCGGATGTTGATAATGGTTCAACTTCTTCTTCATTTATATCTGAGATTTCTAATGATGCAATTATATCAGCATTTGATAATTCATCAGAATTTATTTTTGATAATGACAAATCTATATTGAAAAAACAACAAAAAAAAAGAATTCTTTCATTAGAAGAAACAGAATCGAAGAAAAAAAAAACAACGAGAGAACAGAAAGTTTTTTTTGACTTTTTCCTTCTTCATCCTATGCAAAGAGTATTCACTCACAGAAAAGAAAGAAAGAAAAAAGGAAAGAAAAAAAAAAGGTCCTACCCAGATTTGAACTGGGGCTCCTGGATTCAGAGTCCAATGTCCTAACCGCTAGACCATAGGACCGATGTTAATAATCAGTCAATATGTACATTTCACTCGGATAACCTTTCTATTATCATCAAAGCAAATTCATTAAACTCAACAAAAACAAAAAAACATCTAACAGATCATCAAAAGCTATCTGAAAAATTGACTTATCATTTCAATTCTCATTTTAATCAATACTATATTGAATTTCTCAATCGAAGTTTTAAGTCTATCCTACATTCACTTATGACAAGTTCATTTGAACTTTACTGTTAAGTCTACTCAGAAGTTTTCATCAAGAAAATGAAACGAAATGATTTTCGCAAGGATGAATTTGTTTTTTTATTCTTAATACATTAGAAAATAGAGCATAAAAAATCAAACGAGATGAATTATTTGAAATATAATAGGTTGTAGACGAGTTTACTATAATATGAATAATAAAAACTTTTCAATCTGAAACATTCTCAAGATATAAATCTCATCATTGTTATTATATTCTAAATCTAATAAACGAAATGACTATTTCTAATTTGATATGATAAATCCTCAAGAAATATCCTGATGATCTATTAACTAAAAGAAAACCAATTCTTAGTTTTGATTTCAAATGAAATAATTCATCTATGTGAAAATGATTTCATATAATTTTTCTTGATAAAAACTTTCAAGTACAGTTAACAATCGAAAACTTGTCATAAGTCAATGTGAGATGCGCTTTAAATTTGAGTTCGAAACTTCTAGATGATGTTCTTTTTTTTTGTTTTATTGATTTAAAAAAGTAAATTAATTTGTTTTCTATTTCAAAATTACCTTGATTATTTGTTTTATTTTGTGCTTGTTTAATTCGTTCGATTAATTTTGTTTTATTAGCATGAGATGATGGAATTTGATATTGTTTACATACATCACGAAGTTCAATAAGTGTCATTTGTTCGAGTGTTTTTTTATTTAATAATGATGATGATGATGATGATGATTGTTGTTCATCTTGTTTATTTGATGTTAATTCAAGAAGAAGTTGTTGTTGTGCTAATCGTATTTGATGTGCATTAGAAAATGATGAAAGTGAATCGATTTTTGTTACTTTTGGTTTTGATGATAATGGCGAACCAGTATATTCATGAAATATAAGTGGACGTCGACATAATGTTGTTGTTTTAAATGGAATTTGACCACCTAAATATTTAAATTAAATAATTAATTAAATTTAAAATAAATAAATAAATAACCTTGAATAGCTTGTTCTAAATTTGGATATTCATTTGTATCAATATGAAGAATATTATGTTGAATTAAATCTAATGGACCAGGACGATTAACAAGACGATTATTTAATTCATCAGCAAGACGAGCTCGTTTAAGAGCATGTTCAGCATGTTGAAGACTTGGTGCACATTGAGAATCATGTAATATTCCTTGTTCAACTAATTTATGACGATCTGGACGACGAGATAATTTATCATTTAAATATTGAGAACGACTTGGTAATGAATTTGTTCCATCAGATGAATCTAATTTACGTTTTAAACTTTGATTCGACATATTATATGATTATAGGATTATGCAACTTTTTTAAAATAAATAATATATTTCATATTCATTAATCTATTAACAAAAAAAAACGTCATCTACTATTATTTTTATGATTCATTAGTAAATAAGGAACGGGAGGAAAAAAACACCAATATTTATTTCTGATATGACCTTTTTACAATGATAGATGCCACTCGAAGCTGTAGAGATTGATCATATATCTTATCATTATGTTTTAAATTTCGATTGTTTCATAGAATTATCAAACTAATTATAAAGCTATACATAAGAACAATATAACTATTATTAAATATATTCAACTTTGATTTATATTCGTTGTCATTATTAAATAGAAAAATAATCGATTTTTGGAAAATATCGAAAATAAAAAAAAAACAAAAATAATGATGATATATTAAGAATAACAAATTTGATTGTTTTATCTTCTACTAGCAAACGAAAAGTGACTTTTTCAAATTTTAGGATTTAAAATGCAACAAATTTTAATCTTTATTTGTAGTTAAATGTAAGAATACAAGGAATAGATCTGTTTTCTAACACAAAATTTATTATAAAAACTATTTTTTAATAAAATAATTTTATCATTTAGGTTGAAATAGTTCTCATCAAACAATAAAGAATAACTATAGTTAAAATTTAGTAGAAATATTGTTTTCTATCTCATTTAAATATCTTCTTATGATGAACCAGAGATGTCCATCGCGGCGCTGCCGCTGCCGCGGTGGCAGCGCGGCAGCGGCAGGTTTTTTAAAAAATCACCGCGGCAGCGGCGCGGTAGCGGCAGATTTTTTTAAAAGTCATCACGGCAGCGGCGCGGTAGCGGCAGGTTTTTTAAAAAACCATCGCGGCAGCGGCGCGGCAGCGGTAGGATTTTTCTTGGAGGACATTGAAAAACTGTATGAATTTAATAGAATTTCAGGATTTACAAATGAAACGCCCCGATATTGAATAAATCTGATGGACTAGTACCCATATCTCTGGTCAAATATAGTCACAGCAGTGAAATTAGAAACACTTTTTTGAAAACCGTCGCGGCAGCGGCGCGGTGGCGGCACGTTTATTTTATAATTCATCGCGGCAGCGTTTCTTTTATAAGTCATCGCGGTGCGGCAGCGTCGCGGCAACATTTTTTTATAAGCCGTCGCGGCGCGGCAGCGGTGCGGCACCTTTTTTTTCTAACGCCGCGGCGCGGCAGCGGCAGATTTTCAGCCGCGATGGACATCTCTGTGATGAACTAGTCTTAAGTCAGAAAAACTTGACTACATTTGATACTCTTATATCATTTCTAACAGATAAAATATTCAACGAACATATTATTATCGAAGATATTTTTACATATAGATATTTATTAATAAGCGCACTGATAACTATAGAGAAAAAGATTTTTCTCAATTGTCAAAGTTTACTTGTAAATAATAGATAGTTTTTTCATCGATGAAAACAATAAATATTCACCAAATAAAGTTTTGTTTTCTTTATTTTGAAAAAGAGAAAGCATATGTTAGTATATTTTCATTAGTTAAACAATCAATAGACAATATAATGATACAATTAAATATATATATATGAGGCAATTGAAAAGTAGTTTAATCTTATCAAAACAGAGAATTTTATGATAATTTAATTTGTCTGGAATTTTAATTTTAAGAACGTTTATTTCTAAATGTATTTATTTTTGTTAAATAAAATTTTCGTTGAATAGATAATAAAACTTGTCGAAATTCTTTTTTATATGTTGCTGATGGTAAAACAAAAACAAAACATATTAATACAGATGGCATAAATGATATAAAATAACCTAAAAGAAATAACCAAAAATATTCCGATGATTTTTGACAATCTAATCTAAATGAAATAATTAAACGTGGTAATGATAATATAACAATAATAATAGGACTAATTAATAAATGTTTATGTTGTTTTAATTTATTTTTAAAATGATTTGTAAATTTACATGGACTTTTCATAATATAACGTTGACGAGCTGTTCCAATAATAATAAATATTGATGAAAATAAATTTATTAAAAATGGAACAATAAAATGAAAATATATTATAAATGATGTATAATTATTTAATAATGTTGAATATAATATAACACACCATGTACGTTCTTCTTTAATATCATCAAATAAATGTAAATATAATAATTGAGGAATAATAAGAATAATATTTATTATAATAACAGATAAAATAATCCATTTAGACATTTTTCGACTTTTTATTTTATTAAAATAAATACCTTTAAAAAGAGAAAAAGCTCGTTCACCAGCAACACAACCATTTAACCAATTATCAATATATAATAAAAGTTTAAGTAATGGTTCAATTATCATACAATTTGATAATAGAATTATTCGTTTAATAATTATATCTTTATATGAATAAATAAGAAACCAAAATTTTAATGAAAATAATATAACTATTATTATTGAAGTTATTGATGATGCAAGAAGATATATTCCACAACCAACTTCTTGACAACTTTTTCTTTTAAATGTTAATATTGAAAGAATTCCATTTATAATACCAATAATAAACATAAACATTGTTATAATAGCACTTAATTTAACTGAAAATGGTTGTTTAGATAATATAATATTATGTTTTATTTCATAACCTAAGATTTCATCTAATGTTAAACCTAAACCTTTAGCATAATATTGACATTTATTACCAAAAAAACAATCATTACAAACACATATTATTGAAGATGGACAAGTTGGATGATCTTGTAAACATTCTGCACCATTTTGACAATAATGTTTTAATGGACATTGAAGATTTTTATTTGAATTAAATTCAAGACAATTAGCATGATAATCTTTTGTACATAAACAAAGATAATATTCATCAATAAAACAATTTAATTTTTTATTATTTTGACATAATATATGATAATATTTAATTCTTTCTAATCGAGACATATTCATTAATGTTGAATTAAATAATATATTAATTGAAAGACATTCTCGAGAAGGATTAATTGATGTTAATATATCATTTATTGGATTTAATTGAATTATAGCAAGATAATATTTATTATTTGATTTAATAATAACAATATTATATGAAATAGATATACGAAATGTAATCATACGTTGAAATAATGTTAATTTTTGTAACATTATTGTTAATCTTGGTTCAGATTTATTTGATATTGTTAAAAAAAAAGCTAAGACAAATGATGGAATATTTAAATTTTCATAATAAATATCGATTTTAGATTTACGATATTGACATATCGATCCATAATAATGATCAGAACAAATACAAGAATAATGATTATTCGATATAGTTATATCAGCTGGAATACATTTACCATTATTAAGACAAGCTTTTTCTGGACATAAACTTGTAAGAATACATCGAGGACCATATTTCATTAATGGACAAATACATATTGATCGATTATTAACTGTTCCAATGCATATAGAATCAGATGAACAACTTTGACAATTTATTTTAATATTACATTTATTACCTGACCATCCAGAAAAACATCGACAAAATACATTTTCTTTATTTATATATTTAATACATTCACCATTTTGACATTTTATTAAACAATTTGATAATATATCAACTCGTTGATAAGGTATATATAATAAAGCAGATATTCTATTAACAGGTAAAAAAATAAAAGGTATTGATAAATACCAACTTCCACGATATGTTATTAAATGTTTTTCAAATGCATCAATACGTATAAAATAATTATTTGATAAATTTTTTGGTCGTGTTAAATATAATAAATAACGATTTAATTTAATTCCACAATTTTGACTTGCAACATATTCAAATTGATCATATGAATGAATTATTTCATATTGATCAATTAACATTATTATTATTATATAAACATCATGTCTATCAGCTCTAATTAATCCTAATGTAAGACTAACACGTTCATTTTGATATTGACATAAATTACCATAATAACTAGGTGGACACATACATTGACGTTTATTTAATTTATTTTCAATTCTTTGACGAATAATTAATCCACGATTACAATACCATGGCCAAGAATAAGACTTTTTTTCTAAATTAATATATTTTTCAATATAATCTTGTTTTATAATTGGTTTCGATTGAATTATTTCATTATTAATAGTTGTTTCTATTTGTGGATAAATTGATGATGTATGAATTGAAAAATGAATTATTCGATTTTTTTCATTATCAATTGAACGACAAAGAACATCTTCAATTTGAGTACGATTTATATTTGAATTTTGTTCACATATATATTTATGATTATTACAAAAATTTTCATCATCACCAAATGGACATGTTTGAATATTATTACATAAATCAGATGATGATAAACATAAATCACTATTTTGACAATGAAAACGTTTTGGATTATTATCTAATGGATAAACATGTCGACAAAATTTAAGTTCATCCATTCCTCCAAGACAATCATCAACTCCATCATTTATTTTATTAGAAGATAAACAAATAAATGAATTATTATATATAGATATACATGGATAAGTTTCATATTGACATATATATCTTTCATAACAATATTCTTCATCTTTTCCATTTTTACATGTCCAATAACCATCACATCTTGTATATATATTATTACATGGCCAATAATCACATTCAGTTTCATCTGTATGATTTTTACCATTTGAATCTTGATAAATAAATTCATCTAAACCATCACAAATCATTTGAAATGAAATTTTCTTTTCAAATTGATTTTGATTAAATGGACAATCATCAATTGTATGTAATGATGAAAGACATTCATTACTATTAAGACACTTTAATCTATGTTTAGTATTAATTAAACAACTTAATTTATTATCTTCATCATCTTTCATACAACAATCAATATTTTCATCAAATATACGATGTTTTGATATTAATTTAGATGAATTTTCACATTTATATAATAATGTTTGATTATTATATTTATTTATATTATTAATATATTCATAAGAATTAAAACATGAACGAAAATAAGATTCAATTATTAAAATCATATCAATCCAAATATGTCCACTAACACTTGATATTAAATCTATTGTTGAACTATGTAAACAAGTTAAATTTTTATAAATATATGTTGGATTTATACAATCACAAAGTTTTTCATTATAACAAATATAATCAGGTATAATTAATAAATCTGAATTTGATTTTAATGAAAGATTTTCATATAAAAAATAAATATGACTCATATATACCGGATTTATTGGAAATTGAAATATTGAATCACAATTTTTAATAAATTCATAAATAATATTATTTATAAATAAACTTTCACATAATATTCCATAAATTTCTTTAATAAGTTGAGTAAGACATATCATTAGAATTGAACAATTTTTTGATAAATTATCTTTATTTGATATTAATATTGATTGAATTAATAATAAATGACGTCCATTATGACATTTATCAAATGTTTGTACACATTGTCCATCACCACATGGAAAATTAAACCAATTTGTTCGACATGAATGTTCTTCACAACGAAATGTTGGATCTCTAAAACAATTATATGAATATAATACATCAGCAAATTCATCTGATCTATCAAGACAATCGGCATCACCAAAACCATTTTCCCAAAATTCATCTGGTATACATAAACCATTATGACATCGATATTCATTATCTTCACATTCATTTATTTCCATATCAAAGCAAAATGATTCATCTAAACCTTCATCAATACAATCAATACGTCCATTACATATTTCACGCCAATCAAGACATATATTTTTTCCACCACGATTACATTTTATATGAATATAACATGGTAATTCTATTAACATATTAGATGATTCAATATAGGAGTTTTTTATATTAAATTCATTTTCAACAACATCATTTATTGACATATATTCATTACTATATTCAAATGAATATTGACATCGTAAACCAAACCAAGGTTTTGTACAATTATAAATTAATTCATTAGATAAAGATAAATCTATTTCATCTAAATATAATTGATATTTTTCAACCAAATCAATAGGAGTTGACCATGAAAGAAGATCTTTTGTACTAATATTATAAATACGTAATTCTTCAAAAGTTAGTTTTTGATCTTCTGTATTAATAAAATTTCGAAATAAACTTTCATTTCTATTTATTGGTCGAAAACAATATGGAATTAACTCGTTTATTACATTTGATAATTCTTGATAAGCTAACTTTTCCTTACTTACACGATAATATAGACAATCAAATTGTAGAATATTATCATTAATCAATTCGTCACTATCATAAAGAATCAATTGACAATTGATTATAATAGAATGAATATATATTATCAAGATAAAATATATTTTCATCTTTGAACGATTTTAAATATAATATAGAAACAATGAATATTTTATTGATGAATAAAATGTTCAATGAAGAAAAAAAAATAAGTTGTTCAATGTCTCGTATAGATTATTGACAATTGAATATCATTGTTCATATTAACCAAACAAAAGAAATATTTCACGTCTAAAAACGGATATAATAAATTTTTCAAGGTTACTATTCTTTATGACATAATCAGCTAACAACTATGATTATCATGTTTGAATAGGATCTTTTTTTTTTTCTATCGAGAAAAGAATTAATAATAATAATAGCGTCACTGTTCAATAACTTTCTATTCTAAAATAGTTAAATTGGTTAACATATTTTTTTACAAGATTATTATAACATTCTCTATACGTGCCATTTACAGACAAATCGTTACTCAAATATTAAATACACTACATATTAGTGAATTCCTATCTGTATGCGATTACATAATCAAAGAATTTGTTGGCAGATCATTATCTTGTCATTGATATATATTTCATAAATAAGGATGTGACTTTGTATCTAAATACTGTTTATCTAAGTCTTCTCTTCATCAATTCATATTCCAAATCACAAATTAATACTCATACACTTTTTTCCATTCCAACAAATATTTTCACATTTCTCTTGATTCATCATTTGAATATTTACATCAACAAACAACATGTTGGTTTCTGACAAATAGCAAAAAATTGTCTATTGAGTAATCGATTATTACGTATTCAGAAGTTCGAAAACTAATAATTTTTCTTTTCAAAAAAAAAAGTTTTGTTTCGCTCTTTCATTTGATATTATGAAATAATTTTGATATCGATTTTTCGAACTTATTATTATTTTATTTTTGTGCATATTTGAAGCAAATTTTCATCTTTATTATTGAAAAATAAAATTGTTCTTTTATGAATCATTTCTATATGTCTGGACTAACTTTCTAATCTTGCATTTACTCCCTTGTTTTTTCACTGAGAATGAAATCATTGTCTCTAATTAAAATTTTAAAATTGGTTGAGCAAAGCTTTCTCTTCAATCTTTTCATAGTACAATTATTTATTTTGTTAATCTTTTCCAATCAAGAAAAATTCAGAATAAACACAGCAATAATGTAAGAAGCAATTTTTCAACACACATACATTATTCGAAAACCAATTCCATGAATCAAACATCGGTATATTAATATCAACTCGATTTTGATGATCATTAAAAATATCTGCCTATTTTCAAGTGACAGTTGTGAATCAATTGAAGTTGAAAATATCAGTAACAGAATCTTGTTAAATTGCTGTCTCGAATTAACATTGGATAACATTTCAGTGTAATTTCTGTAATACACACAATGTTTATTTGTTTCTTCATGTCATTTTCGCAATCGTTTTGGCTCTTATCGTATAAAAACATTACGAACAAATCGTCATGTCGAATTTATTAATATGCATTCCATGTACAAAGTGTCGGCTCGATTCCATCGATCACTGAAATTCTCTTTGAATGAATAATATGAACCTTCTTTTCATCATTATCAAGAAGAGAAAGTGTGGCCATGTTTGTTTGTATCAAGTTCCACATTCACCTCCCACTCTCACTTTTTTTTCCATTAATTTTGTCTGATTAAGAAATTTTGTTTATGACGAAACGACCGAAAGAGAATTCGAAATATCTCCTTTGCTTTTCTATTTCATAAACAATAAAAGTGTGGTCATATATGTTCACTTGTAGCTCTCATCGACATGATAAAATCTCTCATGAAAACAATATTTCTTCAAATATTACTGTCATTTTCTCTGTAAATTTTCTCATTTTCACTTCCTTGTGTCTGAAGATGTTCTTTGCATAAGGATGAAACGACACAGTTGATCAAAAATAGTCAATGAAATGATTGACAGTTTAGTTACTCTCGTTATTTCATTAATTCAATCTGATACTATGAAATGAAGCTCAACTATATCTATTTTGTGTGTGACAAAAAGAGGTTACAAATAGATTTTGTCAAAAGAGTGTCTCGTTCTGTTATGTGTACGAACTTTAGTACGGAAGAATTCTTCATTGAAATGAATGTACTTATCCAAATATTTATCGTTTAATTCTTCGTTTTCTCGCAATCAAGTTAAAGTTTTTCTAATCGCGTAGAAAAATTCAACTTGCATCAAGTAAACTTCTTCATACTGAAAATCGCTTGCTACTTTCGTTTGAAAATGATTTAAATGAATAATTGTATTGACGAAAGTTGGATTTTTTAAAAGAAGATTCTTCTGTTAAATATGCTTTTATAATCAGTCTTGAAGACAGACTCGTAGCTTAGTCATTGGTGACCTCATTTGTGTGTCATTTATAAATAAGAAATAAGTCGTATACGAGATGTATTCAGTAGTCTTTTGCTTTCAATCATCTATCGATACACAAACACAATCAAAGAGAAACGATTTTTAGAAAATTTATATTTATTAAGAAAAAAAAAATAATTTTTTTACAAAAGGTTTGATCGATATTTTTTTATCTTTTGGATCAAATGAATTCTTGAATTTATCTATTTTAGATCGTTTTATTAGTGTATTAAAACGTCCTGATTGAGCTGATTTTGCTTTATCCATGTAATGAGTTTTATTATTACGATTGTCATTTATTCATAATTGTTCGATAGAATCGATATGTAGCCGAGCATGGAATAGATTCGTTCTCTTAGATGTTAAATGATCGAATGATCGCCAGTTGATAAACAACTCGTGAAGATGGTAATATTCTCTTTCGAAACATTCCAACATATTATGTAAAAAAGTGTGATAGATGAAAAGTAATCTCAAAAAGTGAACGATCAATATTGTCATACGCTTGTATTAAACTGTCAGAATTTGTACAATCGAATGTTTTTTTTTTCAAAATTTTCGGGAATAAGTTGTTGGTTATCGTGTAAGTACACTCAAGAGTCGATTATTTTATATTGAGCGATCTGTTCAATAGTAGGCATTTGAAGTTGTTGTTTTTAAGAAAACAAACATAGACAATATTATTTCACTATCGTTAATGTGTAGTGAAGAAATGGTGAACTATAAATATTTGTATTGGAGAAAATAACAATAGATCTAGAGAAAATAAGTTCCATTGTGTTAAAATCATCTAAATCATATTTTTTCTTGCTAAGATTTCGTGTTGCTGATAGATTCTTTATAGATTGAAATTCATCACAATTACTTATAAGATCTAACGAAATCGAATTTTCTTCTCTTAAAAGAGGAGTAGAAAATGAATTCACATCAAGATAATTAAAAATTTTCAGTGTATCGAATATATTCTCATCTTCATCTAATTCATTAAATAGTATATAAAGTTGTTCATAAGTAATTAAATGAAGAATAATTAATCAGAGATTTTAATAATATATATTCATCGTTTTCGTTTTGCATTACTGAAAAATCATCTTTATTTGCTACAAGAGCTCATAAAAAAAGGAAAATGATAAAATCGGTAAAATAAACATGTTCATGAGACTTATCAAAACGAAATTTATATATGGATTCTATATTTGAATTCCCCCTCTCTATTGCATTCACCATTGTTTTCAAATCTAATTTCACGAAATGATCAAGTCTATTCTCCTTCCTGACCATGTTTGTCAGACAAACAACAAAATAAAACGACGACAATATAGTTTCTTTCGCTTTTAAAGCAAAAAATAATAAACGTATGTTAGATTTTTTTCTCTACTTAAGGTGTGGTTATTGACGTTATTTTGTCAATAGGTGCGATGAAAGAAGGAAGAAAAAAAAATATGAGTCTATACATTATTTTATGCTAAAACAAGAAAAAAAAACATCCACGTGAAACTTGTGTAGTATTGATGTTCAATTCTAAATAAAAACTTACTTGAGTTTTAAAAATCAACCGATATTCTGTATTCAAAAAAAAACCATATATTCATTAATAAAATTGAATAAAAAGAACTAATTTATTTTGCCGTCAGAAATTAAAAAAAAGAGGAGTAGAGTTTTAAATTAGTAGTATTTATCATGATTTCATCAGTTGAATGAACATATTCATCGACAATATTTTTCATTCAACTCATTTCTATATAGCTGAATGAACTGATAACAGAAAAAGAGTGTGGATCAAAAATAATTGCTTCTATATTTAGCACATTGTATTATAATTAATTAATTCATTATGAAATCAATTCATTACCAAGCCGATTGTATTTGTTACTTGTTTGATGGTTTGGATGTGAATGGAGAAAAGAATCATATCCTTAGCCATACTTGAAAAAAAAGTGTTTTACAACATACGTCAATAGGTAAGTGTGAAGACTAATAATATAAAATTGTACATTTTCCTTTTAAGTATTCTAATGATTTCGCTATTTTTTTTATTTTAATGAGTTTTGTTTATAGGTCTTAATGGTATTGAGATAGTAATCGTATGAATATAGAATAGTTTATGCATCTGAAGATTTTCTCGTTGATACTTTTACAGTCTGTTTCTTTTTTTCACATATTGTTTCGTGTAGTAGTTTAAATAGATGAAAAAACAAAAGCTTAAATAGTAGAATTGGAAAAAAGAATTAAAAAAAAAAGAGTCGGTTAGCGCAAGCAGTTTATCTCGAATGCCTTATCCCAAGGCATGATTGTGAACCATAGAAAGATTCACAAATTTCTCGAAGTAATGCAAAATTTTATTTTTTTTTTTGTTCTTTTGAATATTTTATAGTTGTTTTTGGTATTTTTTTTTTCAAATTTTATTATTTTTTTGATTTTTTTTCCAATTTTATATATATTTTTCCTTACTCAAATAGCACAGCGTGTGAAGTAGCTGACTCGACATCTGCCGACCCTGTCCATAACAGAACAGTATATCTATATAAAATGAAATATTTTCATGTGTTGCAATTACACAAGGAAGAATGAGAACAGAAATGAAAAACAGTATAGTTGACATAAGAGGGTGTGAGTGTGGGTGTCGCAATGTGAGTGTGTAGTGGCGCGTTTTTGTTGGCTATGAGAGTTGATGTGGATGTAGGGTGAGTGTGACTGTTGTTATTCCCTTAACTAGTACCCACACCCACCTTCACATCCATATCCAAACTTCCACACCCACACCCACAAGATTCAAATATGTTATGAGTATCCTAGAGCGAATTTGAGTTCTTAGCTTATTATTGCTGATATATTGAATGCTATGGTCTGTCATACGTACACTCTAAAAGTGTGCGGTTTTTTTGCATTGACAGATTTGGTGTTCTTATATCAGAATAAGTGCAAATAAAAAGATATGAAACTTTCTCAAATAAACTATTTTTGTTAAAGTTTGTCTCTATGCAAAATTTCAAGTCAAAATTCGAAAACTAGTTTTGCCAAGTATTTCTGTGAATGACTATGGCATTTACTATCCTAGCAACAATAAGCTAAATCATTGTTGATTAGAGTCTACACGATGCACATAGTCCTAACTTAAAAGCAATCAATCAATTGAGGAATTTTCTTCATAAGTCTGATTGCATGTGTTTTTAATCATCATGTTCAACAGCAACAGTAAAAATCGGTTATTTATCATTGATTATCGTAGCAAATCGGAAAAAAAAAATGCATGATTGTTTTTTTATCTTTGAGAAAAAGTCATTTTACATAGAATGAAATTCATCAAGAAACATTTATAAACGTATATGGATTTTGAGTTTTAGCTTATTATAATATTCAATTAATGTAGGAACTCTATAATAGTAGAGAATTCAAAACTGTATAAAAAAAAATATCTTATAGGATTAATCTACAAATAATTTCTCATTAACTAATATTAAGTTAGAAAATAAATTCTTATTTTTACTCATTATCTCTAAATGATTGAACATTGAATCAATATATTGTAGAAGAAAAAAAAAAAAAGAATTTCTTTTTTTTTAAATAAATAATAATCTCTATTTATTCAAATAATCATATAACGATATTATTTATATATGTTATTATTTTTTATCATTTATCTAATTAGAAAAGCTTGTGCACATTTATGTCGTTCTTCATCATTGTCAAAATTAGATATCAGTAATTCATGTTTATCAGCAAATAAATTTGATTTAGATTATTGGTTAAAACAAGTTGATTTACTTGAAGCAAAAGAAATTGAACATAATCGTGGTGGTCTATCACCTTATCTTTAATTCCCAACTGAATAACCATGTGATGGTCAATTAGCAACTGCTTCATGGATTGTTGATGCATGTCGTCATATAGAATATCGATAACAACATAAATTTGTTCAACAAACAGAATAAAATCTAATACCATATAGACGATGTCGACATATTTTTCGTCATTTTATTCGACATCTTCTTATTCTCCCACATCAACATCCATCATTTTAAAATCAACATTTATCATCATTAATTGCTGATTTAAGACCACGTATAGTAAATAATAATTTAATTTCACCATTAGAAACATTAGATATTTTACCTCGACGAGTTGTTTCATGGCCTCGTCTTAAATCAACTCATCATCAAAATGGTGCAATAATGAATGACAACCACCCTTTTGACATACTGTTTTCTTCAGTTTTAATTGTAAATGTTTATTAAATTTCTCATGTACATCTTATTTTATTTCAATAGATCGTATATTATGATCGATATAAATAAATGCTTCAGCTATATAATTTATTTGTGCTTCAATCATAAGTACAACTGAATTATGACCAAGTGCTGGATTTGGACCAAGAAGAATAAAAAAAATTGGAAAACTAGGTATAGTTATACCACGATATGCCTATCGAACATAAATTTAAGTAGATACATATATATATATATAATAGTGTTATTAAATATATTCACTTGTATTGTTTGAGACTATTTATCAGTTAATGAACAACCATTAATTCCATAAACAGGTAATGGAAATTCTTATGTTAGAAATCTCGTTGACGAAATAATAATTCTCAACTGGATATTCATCTCCATTTTGAGTAATAATTGAATGTGATTTAATTTCTTGTATACGATTTGTTACAAGTTTAACATTCGACTTTTGTAATGTTGAAAATCAATCATTAGTTATTAACATACGTTTACATCCAAATTCCCATCTTGGTGTTAATTTTTTTCATAATTCTATATGTTTAACTTATCTTTCAAGATTATATTTAACTAATTTATCAATTAGAAATTACAATGGCAAACGATAAGCAAATGAAAGTGCAAAAGATTCCGTTATCCAATACATAATAACACACATAAACTTTTGAATAATTGAAAAACGTTTAAATAATTTTTTTTCCCAATCAGTTACTAATCGATCATATGGAGATATAACCCATGCTGGTTTATCATATCATGTACCACCAATATGTCCATGTCGTTCAATTAAAAAATAATTATCCATTTCAAGTTCATTCATTTTAATAGCCATACCAAGACCAGAAAAACCAGTACCAATTATAATAACATAGTATTCATCATCTCGTTGATTATTTATCAATTTCAATTTTCGTTTAGTTCGCTTTTCATAACGGCCAAATGAATCGTATAAAAGCCAATAGATAAAATGTCTAATAAAGTCTAGTACCAATGAAGTACTTAACACAATAAAATAGCTAAGTATTAATCATAATATATCTAATTTAATGGATAATATATTTTACATCTAAAACAAGAAAATAGATGATTATAGCTTTTAAGACAAATATTATATAAATATAAAACAAGAGATACAAATGTAATTGGTGTTTACTGAACTTTGTACTTTTATCTCCACGTATCAAAATATATTTTTTCATATCATTGATATATATGAGCATGTTATAAGAAATTGTTGTTTATGTTACAGTATTTTTTTTAAACAATTGTAGTAGTTTAAAATACTATTGAATTTAGAATATAATGAAAAAAAATAGTTATTTTCTTGTGTAAACGATTGACGAATTCGTAGATATTTTTATTTTTATTTTTCTTAAATATTTACTTAATTATTTTAATAGATTCTAATTTACAAACGTTAAAATATACATTTTACAACCAAAGACGAAGAATACGAAATGCGTATATGACTGTTTTTCACTGTATCAAATGCGAATAAATATCATCGTAATAATAAGTCATGTAGTATATCAATATGTATGATGAGTTAGGAATAGAATAGAAATAAACACAAGAACAGGTAGTTATTTTGCTTTTTTTCTTTCTTCACTTTTACGGTAGTATGGCAATGATTCATCCATCAAGATTATGACACTTACCGTCTGGTGGTACTGTATCATTATGAAAGTAAAGAAAAAGAAGAAAAAGCAAAAATTAGAGTTTGTTCTTTTTCTTTTTTTAATGTATGTACTGTATTTTACCTAAAGAAGTTGCTTCTAGCATTGAAAACTTATATCATTTTACAATATACGAAGGGTATCCTACAATAACTGAGAAAGAATTCTCAACGACATTTTTCATACTTTTTTTTGACGAAGAAGACAAAAATTTTTATCATATATATATATGTCGGAGTTGACTCTAAAATTTAGTTGCCTTTTCAATCTTCGAAGCAACTAGTCGTCTTTAAAATTGAAGAGACAACTGGGATTGAGCTAGTTGTCTTTCCAATTTTAAAGTCAACTAATTAGTTGATTTTTGTATAGTGAATATTTGTTTATATGCTAGATACAATGTTTATTACATAGATAAAGTTGAGAAAAAGGAATGAACATTGAATAAAGTCAATATCAATAGTGAGCAAGAAAATTGAGGAATCTTATAGGACGAAATACACAACAGGAGATCTAACAATTTTTACATGTTGATTGTTTATTGCCATGACATATTGCACAGCATTTTCGTTTTTTTCCTGCAACAACATCGATTTATGTTGCAATTACCGAAACATGTACAAGTTTCTGTTGATTTAAAATTTATGTAAGTTTGACTTGCTTGAAGGAAAGTAATTGTCGGTAATCCATCAACATTAACAACTCATATTGATCCTAAATTCGCTGTTGTAAGATCTAAAAACGCCAATGAATCAAAATATTATTTTGTAATACCATCTTTGTAGCAATTGCGTACATATATTCACCATTTCGGAGATATTTATCGATTATTTTACATGGTAAAATGGTGGAGGAAGTATTTCTACGATCAACATCTGCAACTTTTAATCGAATAATTTACTTTACTATCGGTTATTGCATAACGATTTTACGTTTCTACATTTCAAAGTCAGCTAGTTGTCTCTTTAGTTTTAAAGACAACTAATTGCTTCTAAGAATGAAAAGTCAACTAGTTGCCTTTTAAAGGCAACTAAATTTAACTATAGCACAGGTTAATGATTCCGGTGCCCGAATCTGTGAATTTTCACCGGAAATGTATTGTTTCCGACCGGGAAATAGTATGAATCCATGGGGTTCCCACCACCGTTACAGCTACTATCTTCAAATGATTGTCAAATAGGCTCGTCTTATAGAACATTTTGCGCTGATCTTTTGGCTACCAAAAAATGAACCATTCAATATTAAGTAAGAGAGAAATCAACGAAATACTGATATAGCCATATTTCGTTCATTTTTTTGACTCCAAATGTGGCTTTTTCCAGTATCTTAGCGAGATATAATTTTAATATTTTTTAAATCAAATTTCAACTTCAGATTCGTGTGGAGCATTGGAAAATGTCTATATGATATATTTTTGAAAGTATTTTCTTGATATTTTTTTTGGTCCGATGCATACACCTTTCTTTCATTAAATACACGAAAGATGAGGAAAATACGAAAAATGCTTACTGATGAGTTCAATAAAAATTGGAATTTCCGCACTTGGTGATATATACAGTTTGATAAAGAAGCTTCTGCTCTATCGAACTGTATATTTAACTTTTCAAGGGAATAGTAGGGTCAAAAACGCGAAAAGACTGTTTTTGCCACGGTATTTTATATGAATTTCGGTAATATTTCAATATTCATTCATATTTTTTAAGTCAAAAAAAAATTTCAAAATTGAATTCATAATCAGCTTGCAAAATGCATCGAATAAGCTATTATATGTTGTGTCAGTTCATCTTGTCTAAAGTCTCTTGAACTATGTATTTATGCCTTTTCTATGCTGCCAATATATTGATTTATATTCAAAAGGAGTTATGTCATAGTGTGAAGCTAGCTTACCAACAAATGTGAACTTAATACTATGATTCTGAGAATCAGCACTCATTACTGATCATTTTTCACTAATTTATCTGCTACTTTATCACAATTTGTTTGATCATACTTGAGGACGCCCTCAGGGATCGAAAAACATTTTTGCTCTAGTTTTAGTAGAGACACTTCTAGTTCGATAGAGCTGTATGTCCTGATTACAAATATAACATCTTTTTAAATGATTGGTCGAAAAATAAGAAACATCTGAAGCACTTTTGGGGACCCCTAAAGAACAGTTTTTAACGTGGAAATCCATCAAAATGCAATTAGAATCTGGCGAAAATAGACTCATTCGACGCGGAATTGTTTTTTCTATCAGAAATTACAAAAAGGTCTAAGTGCTTCGAATCATTTTCGATCGATAATCGCCAAATACCGCCCAGAATTCGGTCAAATTGATACACATACTGAGTTTCCAGTCTTTTGAAGTTTTAGTTTCTGCGTGTGTATTAGAGAGATTTTTCCGTCAAACATATAGATCAATATCCTCTTCCTGGTGGCACCATTTTCAAATTGAAATTCGACTCCCTAGTCAACTCTTCCTTATCAAATCCTCGGAAAGTCCGTGCTAAAACTCCCCGAGGATTTAAGAGAGAGAGTTTATGGGGAATTCCAGGGATTGCTTAGGAAGTGCCTTTAAAAGCCAATAATGAGTCCCTCATATTCAAGGGGAGTTCCTAGGAACGTGATCAAATTTTGTTCTTTCCCAGGACTACATCCGTGCCATTCTACCTACCTACCTATCTGCCTACCTATCGATCTATCTAACTAACTATCTTTCTATCTATATAACTATCTATCAAAGATCTTCCTATCTAATGTCTATCTAACTACATACATTTCTAACATCCATTCATCTATCTACCAAATTTTCTATGTAGCTTTTGCTTAACTACTGAACCACGTATCTATCTATTTAGCTGTTCATTTATTCACCTAGCCCTCCATTATCTGTCTACTATCTAACACATATATGTCTAACTATTGAACTTCGTTCTATCCAGAAAGTGCCAATATGGCTTAGCGAAATAAATTGAGGGTGTGGATGTGGGTGTGTAGGCGCGGATGTGGCTGCAACACTTCATTCTTAGAAACCCGCATCCACACCCAACTACCTCGAGCTGTATGAATTGAAATATGACTTGAATTAACTAACTTTGGATGTTAAATTTTTTCGTTATAATTTGATTTGATTTTCTCCCTTATCAAAATGTTCAATTAAGATATGTGTGACTGATGTAGAGCCCGACGTGACCTAATTTTTCCAATCACTGACACAGTGGTCACGGCATGTGACTGTAAGTCACGATCATTCTTTATGGTCTGTCGCGACATGCGGCCACTTTTCATAAACTATGTATATTGCTGATGAAGATCATATATAATGAGTCTATTGTTCAAGACAAAAGTGTGAATGTAAGACTCCTCTTTTCATCTTTGTCCATGCTCAAATCCAGTCGCTATACGTTCAAAGGTCATTTTTTCTATTACATAATCACTAAACGCGGATTATTCTAACATTTGAATAGTCGTTTTCGGACTGTTAAATAAGTCATCGAGCAACGCGTTATGAATGATGATTAACGAAAGGTATTGGCTAGAAATACATAAGTATATATAGTCACTCGTTTATGTCTACTCGGATTAATATAGCCATTTCCTTAATGAAATAACTTCATCTATACTATTAATGATAAAGAATGCAGGTCATGGTTTTTTTCGTTACAAGTTTATAATAATGATTTGCTCGATATTTTATTTGTTGAGGAAATCGCTTCTTTGAAAAACGAAGTTATCAGGATTATCATGTCATACTGGTTAAAACTTTTCTTTGTAAATTGTACAGACATCAAGAGCATGAATATACAAATTGTGTGAAATACTCATCAATTGTCAAATGTAACATTTGTAAAAAAGAAAATAAATAAATAAATATTAGGTAAAAATGGCTCATTCAATATGATCAATTAATCCGTATATGCTCAGCTAGGCTTTTTGAGAAAGAATTTAAGCTAAAGGCACAAAATTATCTTTTCTTCAACTCGAATAAAATTGTAAAATAATGAATAAAAGGCAAATGAAGTTCAATAGCCTCATAGTGGGAGATTTTAATTTCAAGTCAAAATTTGAACTTGTAGTATACCTAGATTATTATTATTTCTTAACATTCTAAAGAAAGATTCGTAATTTTTTTCAATTTCGTTGAATTAAAAAGGGTTCAAATATATCCCGTTAAATTAGTAACAAAAGATAAAGAATAATCACAATAATTCTCTCTGTTTTGTCAAATGCATGTATAAGTTTTAAGTGTTTGAAAGCGGAACAAGAAAAAATACAGTAGCAAAGGAAAAGAAAAATCTAATATTTATGAAGAAAGTCAGTATTTTAATATCTTTCTTAGTTTTTTTAAATAAATATTTTCTTGAAAATTTTTTTTCCATAGCGTATTATGAATTGAAAAATATAGTTAACAATCTAACAATTATATTCTAGACGAATATGAAGAAAGCAACAGAAAAAATAACAAGAAAATCTTTAAATTTCCTCTTATTTAAAAATCATTTTTCAAAATAAATTATAAGAACAATTTGACTTTCGTTATAATAAATATTATTAATTCAATTATGTTCTCAGTAGGAATCAATCTTAGTGATTAATTATCAATGAATTTCTTTTTATTATAAACTAAAAAATATATTTTATTTCAATCAGGATTCCCTAATCTCTCAGTACAAATATAAATCATTGAGATCTATGGAATCTAATGTTTATACATTATCGTAAGAAATAAAACCGATCTGAACGAAATACATAACAAAAACTTCTATATCATTCTTTATTATGTGGACTTTTTTAATAGTCTATCAAAATATACAGAACGAATTATAAACAGCAAATATATTCTATACGAAATTTTTAGAAACATTTAAAAGCTTACAAATCGTTTTTGAAACTAATTATATGAGTTTTCTGCAGTATTACTTGACGTTGTTTTTATGAATGAAAACTTTGAAGACTCCTTAATGAATGATTAAAAAAATGAATCCATTTTATATTTACAGATTCAAGATATTGAAGTATTTCATTTTATCGTATTGCTATTTATAGTCGATATCTATATAATTGAAATGCAAATAAATTATAAACGAGATGCATTCAAAAAAACACATAATAATTTCAAATATTTCGATTTTAACAAGGGAGATTTACGACAAACACAAAATTTATAATTAGGAGATTTCCAACAATCACCAGTTTTATATCCGTGACTTCTACAATGTAGTTTGCATCGATATTCATCTTGATAATTTGCTTCATTACAACGAAAACTACGAATTTTACGCATTGTATTATCAATACCATTCAACACTAAAAAGTAAAATATGCATTAATTTGATATAAAATCAATTGTATTTGACATATTACCATTACAGGAATATTCGAGTTTTGTAATTCCCCAAACTTTCATTGCAAAAGTAAGTAAAAAAATAATTACAATCATTGATTTACGATTCATTATCACTATGTGAAAAAAAAAGAATCATGTTATCTTGTGATATATATAGCTATCTGAACTCTACATTAAATGGTTTTATTCCATTCTATGAAAAGTTCTAATCAAAAAGGTTTTTCTTCATACTTCAAATAGAATATCTAATCGTTGATTTTGCAATAATTTCTTAATGATTTATTGATATATCTGGTAGACGTAACTGATTAACCTAACATAACAAAAATATGCTTTAGAAAAAATAAAATGACGAATATATTTATTCTATAATGAATAAATCGTGTTTTAAATGACAATTGTATTTAATAAGATATTTAAAAAAACGCGTCTGTACAAATAGATTTTCTGAAGAATAATTAAAATTTGCACAGATTATCACTTCCACTAAAACTGTTATTTACATGAATGACTGAATACTAATTTTATTTCAAAGTTCTAAAAACAAGTTTAACAAATGATTATTATTATTATGTTCCATTAAGTATGATCCATCCAAATTATAAAACTAAGAATTTTTTTTGAGAAAAGTACACAGTCAGATGTATTGATAAACAAGATCATTTTTATATATGAAAAAAAATGACGAAAAACAAACAATCTATCTGCTAGGTATAGTTTAGAAAGATATTAACTGTAAGCGTGTAAATCAGTTACACAGACAGACAGACAAACTCTCAGACAATATTTTATGATAGAATATAAGTTTGATTTTAAAAAAAGATTCTTAGCATTTTAATGAAACTTCAACTGAACTTTTCGTGTTATAATAAGAATTTTATAATAAAGATCTATATAATAAGTTCATTAAGTTATGGAAATTTCTATAAAATTATGTGATCATCATTTTTTTAATTTTTGAATAAAAATCTAAAGGAGACATTCCATCTGACCATCGATGGTAAACATTCTTCATTTTTATTCTTTTCAAATGACTTTAATATAACATTTTTTGATATAGGCAATGGAAAGTGTAGATTCTAGAATAGGATCAACACTTTACATAGAATTTACATCTAATAATGAAAACTGAGAGTAGAGCACGTTTTAACGTATATCATTTAGAAAAAATTTACAATTTGAAGAAATTTGCGAATCTTTATATTCACTGAAACGTGGCCGCCAAAGATGAAGTTTCTCATCTATGTTACTGAAAAAGAGTTTCATAGTGAAGTAAAAATATTCCTAAAAAAAAAAAAATAAAACTCTATATTGTGAGAAATCTTCAATAGATACATAATATTAGTCAACAAACACGAAGAACTATTTTGGTACATTCTAGTTAAACTGTTTAACACTTTTTGTACACTTATTCTTTAGTTATAATGAAGGACTCTCACTTCATAGAGTTGTAATCGGTAGGTTTTTTTCTTCTTACGAGTATCAGTACCGATCTAAGCTAATTAGTTCGAATTGAACTGACCGATAGACTAAGCATGAGTCATTATTCACTTTTATAAATCTCTCGATTACTCATATCTATCTTTGAATTACTATAAAAATGACGTAAAGCTTCTGTGTGATTATAATAGTGTTATTGTAAAACATGATAGTTAATAAGTGTTGAAATATATGGTAAGAAAATTGAATCGATCTTCCTTAGCGCTTGTCTCAAAGACCACGACAAATATGCCGATGTTCTTTTAATCTATTGACAAATTGTGATAAATATATCGATATGTCTCTCTTGTTTTGTCACGACCGAGCGTGTTTTCTGACATGTTGCTTTTTGGTTCAGTCATGATCTCTCATATAGATGATAAAGTTTGCCACAAAGATTAAAGTAACTCTATCATGTTTAATATTTCAGACTCATCGAGATTGTCCTGATAACTTTTTCTTCATTATTTATCTACATAAATTTTCTGTCTTTTGACAACCATCAATGAATAGAAAATTTTATATTGGCTCTGTACACAAATGAAATGTTCATCGAACATTAAAATTCTAAATCAACTACATAAGAACTCTCATTTTCATAATAGATTTACTTTGTTATCTCTTATGTCTTCGCAAAAGATCTAATATAAATAATATGAAATGAAAATAAATATATTATAAATTACAATGAAGAACAATGATTCCGTTTTATTTCGATAATATAACTTGATATTGAAGTGAGTTGATATAATATAGTAAGCGTATCTATCTTAATGAATACTCAGTTAATAAAAATATTCTAACGGATGTTTCTTCATACAACTAGTCATTGATATCAGTAAAAATAGATTATTTTATGAAAAGAAATACTTTTATGATCAATTTTTTGAATACTAAATCAATCGATTCGAAGGTATTCGAAAGCTTCAAACCGACATTACAGTACATATTAGGACTTGGGTTTTATAAAAAAAAAATTTTTCTTATTGATCGATGAAGGTAGTAGTTTGTCAATGTGCAGCATTAACGCTGCTATAGGTATCACCTGCTTAAACAAAGACGCTAATGTAATGCAAAGAAGTATACTAACTTGCAATTTCATTTGAATTCTATTTCAATTCCTAGATCTGCACTGAAATTGATAGTCTCTAAACTTAGTCGAATCAATATGACAGTGTTTGAATTAGAAAACTGCAATATTTTGTTTTTCAGTCAAGTTTTTTACAATCAATTTTCATGTCAATTAGCAAATCAGGATATATAGCAGAGTAATAGATCGTGAGATGTACTATTACTTATAACTGTACAGATGATCATGTAATCGAAGAAGCATATACTTGCCATCACAATGATAGAACTTTATCTATGTATCAACTAAATGGATGCAAAATATCGGCACCTCTAAATACTGCGTAAAACTAGAAAGCTCTACTGAGTATGTGAAAATGACTTTTTTTTTTAAAATAAAATATAAGTTATGGTTGATATAGTAGATTTTTCAGGCGAAAGAATCGATAGAATTTGAAAAAGTGCAAAATACAGAGAACACGAGTTCTACAATGAATTGAGCTTAATTGCTCATGTTTGAGACTTAATGAAAGTATTGTCACTAAATCGAACATTCGATTCGATTTGGTTTTCGTAAGAAATTCTCCATCTAACTGTCCGCTTATTGTTACCGATTAAAAAACTGTCACGTCAATTGATTATAGAGATATTTTTGTTGAACTAAAATTACGATAGATACGCTTGTCAAATCTATCAATTTAATGGAAGAAGAGAAAAATTGTTTGAGTCTAGCCTACGAAGAGTAAATCTAGGATTGACTTGAACCTACTCAAACCTTGTTGCTTCACCAACTATATTTTCTACGTAATACTTCGGTTTAATTTATATTGATTATTTCTAATACGAGAAAGTTTTCATAAGATAGCATTCTTTTATTTACTTTGATATACAATTATAATGAGAAACGACAAATAAAAATAAAAATGCAATCATGGACCAGCTTTAATTAAGACTTTGTGATTAAATTCTGCTTTGAAATATTATCAATCAAACAGACTTAACTATGTTCAACGACTATCAACTTATCTACAAGGAATAAATAATAGATAAATATTTGCCAGAAATATTTCGTAAAGAACTCAAGTATTATTTAACAAACAAAGATATTTGAAAACCAAATAACTCATTGAATCCAAGAGATTTCTATATATATGAATATGAAATGAATTATTTTTGACTTACTGAAATTGGATGAATTTGTATGAATAATAAAAAATAAAATGAATTATTTGAGAAATAAATAATATATATAATAAAAACTGTTCCATATATAAACCATAAATGAAGAAAAAGAACTAATTAAGTACAACTCCTACGTTTAATTGAAAATCGAATCCACTTGAGTTTGATTTAAAAATAGACGTACCAAAATATATCTTTCTCTATGACTTGTCGGTATACCATTTACACGTTCTTATAAATCAAAATAAGTAGAACAAATAATTTATTTTTCCTATTCAAGATATTATTGTTCAATCATTGTTTTAAATAATGATAGACAACTGAATCAACAGGAGATATTATATTTCTATATTAGTCACGTAAAACAATTATTTTTTTGATACTCTCATACTTTTTTCATTGAGATATGCTAATATTATTTAGTTATTGAGTAGAAAGGTTATCTAGAATATTGATAATTTGATAAAAATTCATGACATTCTTTTGACTGTCATGACTTAGAAAAAAAAACTTTCTCAAAATCATAATCGATTTTTAAGTCAACTGCACACCTTACAGATCGATTACAATATCAATAAAAATACAACAGGCTTTTGTTTTCATAGATATTATCTTCTATCTAATTAATGAGAAAATATACGTGCTTTTAAATATAAATAAATAAAAAATATCATAGTCATTATAAATACTTTACATAAACATGATCAACATTTTTATTTCAATAAAAATAACAATTAGAAACATTGTTTGAGATTAGAAAATAAATAAAAAACTCTACATCATTATTTTGATTTAGAAAATTCATTGTTTAGTTTTTTTTTCAAAGTATAACTGATATAATTAAATTGAATTTAACCAAATCTATGCTTAACAAAAACTCAAAATGAATCAATCGATAAAAATACTTTTTAAGTTAAGTATAAAAATATTCATCGGTTTATTCTGATATAACTACAATTCCATTAGAAATATTCTTAGTAACGATACTAATTAAAATATCTTTCTCACTAATCTTATTTATATTAATCTATTATCAGTTTTTCTATGATTTATTTTAAGTTGTTTTGTTTTTTCTTTAATATATTATATTCGATTGATGTGTGTTTCAAATATTACAAAAAAAAAACTAGTTTTATTGGTGTCTTAACAGTTATGTTAGAATTCATTTATTTTTATCTTAGTCTATAGGATTGGTTTCATATCTGATAAGTTCGTTTTAGTCCTCGACTACCTAAATAAAGATAAAGATAATATGATAGAAATTTTCTTACTATCGTTTATTTTAAATTGAAAATACAACAAAAAAAAAAAAGAAACGATATGATAAAAACATGCAATAATTTGTTATATATATTAATATTATAAATATTATGAATAATTTCTTGTTAATCTAGACAAATGTTTTTCAATCAAACACTTATTATAATAAATAGAATATTTCTTTCACAGATTGTTTGTTAGTTTTTCTATTCTCCTATATTCTCAATAGTATCTATTGTTTTTATTTCTTTCATCCGATCTTATTATCGAGAAATATTTCATGTTTTTGATTGAAAAAAAAGCAACAATTCTTTTTTATTTTCATCGACTCCTTCAATACTTTAAGAATAAGTTAAGTTATTATTATTAAAGAAATTGAATAAATAACTATAATAAATAAGAAAAATTTGATATATTTTGATGTTGAAGATCAATTCTATTTGTGAAATATCCATAAAGATGAAGTGACTTTACAACAGAATATTATGGAAAAAATGATTTCTTTTTCATTTATTATTATTTCCCAGTAATAATTGATTTATATTTGATTAAATAAAACTGAAAATAAAAGTTTGATTATTGATGATAATTAGCTATGAAGAATGTTATCTAATCACATAAATAAATATTCAATATAAGAAAAATTCACTAAATAATTTAATATGATTATGACTTGTTTTCATGTCTCTGTTATATTCACGTCACCTTTAATTGGCTTTTTCCATATATTTTCTCTTGATGACTAATATTTTGTACCCAGGAAAATTCCGACATCGCTTTGTTAATTATTAACAGTGGGATATATTTCGTACGAGTAATTTCCCAATATCCACTATCGTACATAAACTTGTTTATATATTGCAAATAAGTACAGAAAAACAAAAGCGAAGTTTGATATCTTATTTTTTGGTTATACTTGTTTTGTTACTGCATAACAAATAAAATAGCATTTTAACTTCTTATTTATTTAAACTAATAATGAGTTTCTTATAAATATATTTATAATGTACATGTTATCGGTAATACTTTTGAAAAAGATCAGTTTTTATTTTCGACTAACTATGAATATATAAACATGTTGACATTTATAGTAAATCATTAATTATTTTGATAATATTTCAAAATAAACACAAATATGTTATTTATCAAATAGAATTTATAAAGAATTTCTGATGGAAAAATCAAAACAACATCAAGAAATTCTTTTTCCAACATATTGTTCTTCGTTTTCAAGATGTAAGATTTTGATGCGTCTAGTACATATCTTTATCTTCAATCTCTCTTCACAAAAGTATATAAGACGATAACATTGGAGCAAAACCCAATAGATTATGAATAAGAAAAGAAAATTCGTTAAACAAAGTTAAAGAGAGAAAATCCAAAGAGAAGGAAAATGTTCATCATATGTACATATGAGAGCAAAAGGAAAATAACATCATATATACACATATATGACAGAAAACAAAATCTATAAAACATGAATAATAACAAGAGAAAAGAAGAAATTAAATATATAAATATTATCATATAGATAGGAAGAAAATTATCATTATCTAAATATAAACAAGATGCATGTCATATTGCAGGGTTTTCCCCAGTTATTTTATATATTTATATATAAATCAATAATCATCTATTGTCGATTAAAAAACATCACTTTAAAATATTGACTATGATAGATAAATATCTTTTTCAGATTAATTTATATAAATTTTCATGGCTCTTGTTCGACGTCTTGCTTATCATTATGCTGAAATACAAAAAAAAATCCACCTCCATTATGTTATGCAAAACCTGAAGATTCAAGTAAAGATATGATTAATTGGACTGGATGGATTGAAGGACCAGAAAATACTCCATATACGAATGGAAGATTTTATCTATCACTTAAATTTTCTTCAGATTTTCCATTAAAACCACCTGAAATTAAATTTGTAACACCTATTTATCATCCAAATATTAGTATAAAAGGTGATATTTGTTTGGATATTCTTCATTCTCAATGGTCTCCTGCATTAACTGTTCGTAGTATCCTTATATCATTATGTTCATTATTATCTGATCCAAATCCAGAACATGGAATTAATAAACAAGCTGTTCAACTCTATAGAACAGATAAAAATAAATATCAAGAAATTGAAAAACAATGGACAACAATCTATGCTAGTCAGGAGAAATATTAAACATTTAGTTTTGTTTCTATTCGATGTAAATTGGTAATAAAAATAATTGAGACTTATTATTGAATATCTTCAAAATAAACAAAAAAAACAAAGAAAATCATTGAATAGATTTTATTGTTTTTTTTTTGGTTTTCGAATTGATATAAATAAAGTTAAAATTAAAACTTAATATTTTTATTTTAAATTCTTCGTTTATGTGCTCTTCGAACATAAATAGGTGAAGTACTACGATGTCTAGACATTTGTTCATTATCTTTATTTTCATCAACTTTGTCTATTTGATTTAATCTTCCAGCTACAATTGATGATAATGTTATGACGAGAACTTCAAGTAAAACTCCAACAACAAATAAAGCAAAACCAGCACCTGTATAATTGAGAACAGAACCAGCAAATACCAAACAACATATACCAAAACTAACACCTATACAAGCAAGTATTGGTGCAAGATAAACGAAATATATATTCAATAGAATAATTGAAGTTAGAAATGTAAATATTGTTGAAAAAAATATAGAAAGTATTGTAATTATTGAAAAACTAGCAGCATTACGTAAACGATAATAATCATCAATTAATATTTGATAAATTGGTCCAACATGAGTTAAATATGTTGATGATCCATTTGTCGGATTTGTACATCCAGATAAATATGCTGTTACATTTAATACTCGATTTATATAAGATGTTGTTGAACATATATACGAATTATAAGAAGTACAACTCAATTTTGTTGACCTCGTTCCTTGACTAACATTTGAAGCGAAACAAGCATAAAATAAATTCGCTTCAACTATAACATTTGTATTATTAGCATTTGTACCAATGTACCATGATGGAAGACCAACACCACTACAAGTTAATATTAAACTGATTAAAGCAATTATACCCGATGTAAGACCAAGAACAAAACTTAATAAATCACCATTACGAGACACCATTCTATCACCTTTGTCCTTAATGGTAACAATAGAAATTCACGAATGTTTTTTGTTGTTTATGTCGTTCGGAGTGGAAAGTAATTGAAAAGGAGAGACAAATCAAAACAACTCCGAAGTTTTTCTTATTTTTTTTCTTCTAATGGCAAATATTAAGTGCATCGCACAAAATGTAAGACATTTTTTTAAAAACACTTTAACATTTCAACAATATGTTATTAGTTTCAATTGATGTTGAACTGAATGAAAATAATGTCAACTTATTTTATATATTCATAGTTATTTAAATTATGTAAATATACATATCAATATTTAATTAATAATTTAAATTGGTTTTTCAAATAAATCATTTGTTGATATTTAATTGAAAAATATAAATTGTGTACGTATCAAAAAAAAAACATTATTTTATTTATGAAATTGATTAATATGTTTTTTTGAATAAAATAGTTTTTTGTTTCTTAAACAATTATCACTCATTTGAGAGAATTATATTTCTAGTAACTTTTTCAATTGATTCGAATTTTAATCATTCAACATTGTATTTATTTCAATCTGTTCACTAACATAATTAATATTAAGTATTTATCATGATATTAGTCGGTACGAGACAAGTTTTTATTAATGATGATCAAAAATTCAACAAATTAGATTTATTTTTATCGTTTTTTTTTTCTTATATCTATTACTTTCAAACTGATATTTATTTTATATTTTTACAATTTATTAAAAGAGATCTTCACAAGTTGATAGTTAAACTTTGAACATTATTTATAAGAATTACTTTAAAGTGTGTAGCACAATTCTGTTGCCGTGAAAATGAATTGTTTTAAAAAATATTCATAAGTATTTGATTGAAAATTGAAATAAAATGTAACAGACTTATCAGTTATTCTTTCATTTTTTGATTTTCTCAAGGAACAATAAATAAAATCGGACTTGTTTTTTTATCATTATAGTCTCCTTTCGAAAAAATGTCTTATTCTCAATAACATCCAAGATCTACTATTGAAAAATAATCGATTAGAGAATCAACAAATCTGTTTTCAACAAATTTCAAATAACTATAAGATTTTTCATTGTAACATCTTTGAAGATTAAAAGTTTCATTATAAAATTAGATTAATTTAACTTCTATAGTAAACACAAAAAAATCTTGTCAAATTGTTATAGGATGAAGTTGCTTTTTAAATTTTTTTTTTTTTTACAAAGATGATCTCGAAACGTTTTGATGAATTATCTATCATAAGAAAAAACAAATTATCATTATTCAAAGTTTAAAAAGAAAAAGAATTTCATTTTTAATAGAAAGATTTTGTAGAAAAAAACAAAAGTTTCATTTTGAATCACAATGACGAAGAGAAATATTGTTTTCATCCACAGATTTTGATGAAACATACAGAAAAACTTACTTAATATAATATTCAATATCATTCGATTATGTTTTATTATAATTATTGAAAAATAGTTTTTGTTTCTAAATAGTTTAGAATTTCTATCGACTTGAGATGGTCGACATCGAACTCGATTATAGAAAAAATAATATTTAAGAGATATTATCCTTGAATAGACCTTCAATTAAAATTTTTTTTTAATTTTACGTTAATCAAATTTATATTAGTAAGAATAAATTGATCCTTTCGTTTGTTTAAGAAAAATATTATTGAAAAACTAGTAAATTTTAAATATTCCAATATCATACAATTCAATTCAGGGTATACAATTTATCAATTATTATCAATAAACAAATGGTCATTATTTCCTTGTTGAATTTATATAAAAGTTCAATTTTTTGTTTAAATTGTTTTTCATATGTTATACTTCGAAATAATTACTTTAAAGTATTTAGTTTTTAATATTAAATCATTATAAGATAAATCGAATAAGAATGGATAGATAGATAGAATACATAAAAAATAATCGAATGAATCATGAAACCTGACTATTAACTTTTATTCTTTTTATTTGATTTCCGATTTTAATTTAAAAAAAAAAGAGATATAAAAAATCGATTGTTTTACGTTTCTTTAATAAAAAATCCGGCTATGTATAAAAATTCTTTTCGTAAATAGGAAATAATTTGTCTAATAATGGTTGGTTTTTTTTGTTCAATTATTGAAAATTGTCTTGCTTGAAAACATTCTGCTAAAATAAATTCTAACCAAATAATAATATCTTCTTTGATAAATTTTCCATCTAATTGTTCATCTATATTAATTATTTGTTTATTCTTTTGTTTGATAGCAAGATTTTTCATTATTTCAGTTAATTGTTCAAGTATTTGATAAATATTATCTTTTTCAACAACAGATTGACCACATTTAATTAATGATGAACGAAATTTCATTAGATTTAATGATATTGATTTATTTAAATTATTTTCAATATGAATATAACGATAATGAAATACTTGACTTAAGAGTAAAAATAATATTAAAAATAAAAATAAACATAATGTTGAATAACATAATAAAGTACGACGATAAGATTGACGTTTTATACAATCTGATCCTCGATTATCATTTAACATCAGATTTTATTAAAAAAATATTCATTTTTATAAGATTTTGTTTTTTAAATTATCGAATAAGAAAAAATAAATCAATGGCGCTTTAATAATGACAAATTAAAATTTAGTTTTATGAAATTAAACAAATAGTTGAGATTATTTCTCAATTTGTCAAATATTTTGTTTTTTATTAATCAACCAACAGAAAGATTTCTCAGATAAAAATACGACTTCATCCTAATTCTAATGTAACTCGATGAACTCTATCTAAACATGATGAGAAACGAGCAAAATAAATCTTTCTTAAATGTTCAATTGTTAGCGCATAACACATATTGTAAATATCCTTAAAGTTCATGTATTTTAGTCCGTACTACTTCATAATCAATTCGTATTTTGAATTTGTTAGCATTCCGATGAAAATTTTCATTGGATTCACATATGCTCAATGGTTTTAAGTTCTAATATAAATTCTTCCTATTGCTAGTATATCCTAGTGAAAGTTTGTCTTTTTTACTTCGTTTTATGTATTGTTATAATAGATTATATTTAAATTTGTAAAATATTATATTTGAAATATCGATAATGTTTATTGTTATTTCGTCAACATATTTTAAGACACAATAAAACGCTCAAAATTGCTTGTTTTTATCAAGTAAAATATGAATTAGATATGAAAATAGTGTAGAATTAAGTATGCGACTGCATACAATCATTGAAATGGAGGTCAACGATAGTGTACAATTCTCTATAGAACAATAAGTAAAGAATAAGAAGTCATGTTTCGTCATAGATATGAGCCCGATGGTAAAGAGTTTAATTATGGAGTCTAGTTATATGATGAAAGATGATCTGTTATCGTGTCATATACGACAGTTTGTAACTATCGTGTGATTGTTCTCTACTCACCATAGATTCATTTAAAGAATTCTGCATGAGAAAATTCATCTTACGTAAACGTAAAAAAGAAAAATAAACTTTTAACTCGGTTATCATCACTTCACAAACAAGTGTATTTTATCGATATCAAAACAGTTTGTAAAAAAAGAAAAAGAAAAAGAAAGAAGTTATTAAGTACAATTGTATTATCAATCGGTCAGATAGAATAGTTTTGAAGAGATTACTATTTTCTACTTCTTTTTGTTATTTTTTCAATAGTCGAAAATAGATTTGTAATATTTGTCAACCTTCTGTAATAGAGACATTTTAGTCAAAAGACAACTGTTTAATCCATTAGAAGAAAAAAAATGTCATTTACCTTGGTATTTATCAAGACAATAAACATCTTTTTTTCACACATACTTTAATAGGTCGTTGAATATTTATCTAAAATAGAAGAAAGATACGATTTTTTTATTTGAAGTTGATTTGTGTATGACTCATTAAACAAAAAAAAAAAAAAGATTCATTTATTCTCTAAATAGGGTATTTTTTTTAAACAATACAAATCGATTTCTGATCGAAGAATTATCTTCCGACGAGAGAATATAATACACCGTCATTTTGTTCATCACTTTATATATGAGAAATCATGCCGAATAGATTCATTTCTAAGGTAATTATTGTTTAATCATTGATTATTCCATAATGAGAAAGTTCTATAATAGTTTCGTCGAGGAACTCACATACCAAAATCAACTGAGACAGAATTTGGTAAAATAACAGCAGTAGAAGAGGTTATTTATATAAATTTTTCTTTTTTTTCAATAAAAATCAAATAATTTACATCAATATAGGAAAAAGATCATCATGAATGGGATCATCCACTTGAATTTGTATTTTCTTTAATTTCAAATTCAGTTGGTCTTGGAAATGTTTGGCGTTTTCCATATTTAGCTGCTAAAAATGGTGGTGGTTCGTTTTATTTTCTATATATTTTTTTTTCTTTTCTTAATTATTTTAATTTTTTGTAAAGGTGCATTTTTAATACCATATTTTATATTATATTTTTTGATTGGTGCACCAATTTATTATCTTGAATTAGCACTTGGTCAATTTTCTAGTCGAGGTCCGGCTACAGCATTTATACTTGCTAAAGGATGGCAAGGTAAATACAATATTTTAAAAACGAAAACAAAATTGAAAATGATCATTTATTAAAGGTGTTGGATTTGCAATGATAATAAATAGTGTACTTTGTATGTTCTATTATAATGTCATTATAAGTTGGGCTTTATTTTATTTTATTGCATCATTTCGAAAAACTCTTTTATGGAAAAACTGTGGATATTGGTGGAATGATGAAAGATGTTTTGTTCCTAGTATTGATAGTACACCATTTACAGTTAATGGAACAATGTATAATTGTACTGAATTACAATTTCTTCATAACACAGAATATTTGTGTGAACCAATCAATGCAAAAGATCGAGTTACAGCTACAGAACAATTCTTTTAGTAAGTTGAAAATAAGAAAGAAAAAAATGAGAGAAAATCAATTTTTAATGATTATTATGTTTTAGTCAATTACTTTTAAATAAAAGTCAACGATTTGAAGATTTTGGTATACCTCGAGTATATCCAGCTATTTCATTATTAGTTGCTTGGATTATTGTTGGAGCATGTATTATTCGAGGTGTTAAATCTTCTGGAAAAGTTTGTTTTATTTTCGAAAATCTTTTATATTAATTATTTATATATAGGTTGCATATTTTACAGCTATTTTTCCATATATTGTTCTCCTTGTATTAATTATTCAAAGTTCATTATTAGATGGAGCTGTTGAAGGAATCAAGTATTATGTTATACCACAATGGGACCTTGTTGCAAAGTTTGAAGTAAACAGATTTTTACAACTTTTCATCTTTCATATTATAGGAGAGTTTTTCAGATTTTACACTATATATTCAGATAAAAATCAACTCATAACACAAGAGTTTTCAACTGACATAAAAACTCTTTTTTTTTTGTAATCATCAAAATCCTCTATATAAAGATAAATTAAATGATTATACAGATGATATTTAATAAGATGTTGGCCTTAGACTAAAAGATAATGTATATTGTGCATTAAAATATCTTATTTAAGACAATAAATATCATAAGTCTCAAGTTTTATTATGTAAAGTAATGATCAAGGCCATAGAGACTATAGAATTTTGCGAGTCTATTTTCTTCTTTGTGTGATCATTTCAAAGTGTCAAAAACGAAGAATAATTCAATCTAGATAAAACTTTGATGATAGCTAATGTAAGGAAAACCAAGAGTTTCGTGTTTCGACAAATCATTTTTGAAGAGAAATTTTAAGATATTATGCTAAATTTGTCTAAGGTCATTTTCATAGAATTAAGGGAACTCTAGCAAGCGTGACAAGTTCGGAAAACTCGTGTTTTGTAGAATAATAAATAAAAAAGATATGTATCGATTTGTCCAAAAGAAAAAAATGGTGAAAATGTAACACATGTCGTTAAGGAGCTTTATTAAGGATGGAATAGTTAGATGTAACGATAGTTGTAAATAAAAGTCTGATATCAGCATACAGACTCTCCACGGAGATACACGCCTATACCACTGTCTTATCATGAGCTTTGTTCTTGAATATTGTTCATACACTACTATCTCTTGTTATTGTATATGTACATCTTTCATGTTTTTTTGGATACAATAAAATATCGTCATTTGGCTAGTCGAGAGTTTCAAAATAAACTTTTTTCACCATGTTTTTTCGCTATTCTTTCTTCGTTAGTTTTTCTTTCGGCCAAAATGATATTATCCATTGAAGAAAAAAAGATTTCACTATGGTTACTATAAAAAAAGTTTCTTTTTACTTAACAATTATTAAATAATGTATTATTATGTGTGAAACAATGTTTATAGCTGTATAAAATATCTCGACATATGAGATTATATATATAATTAGCAAGAGATTTATTTTATTTTTTAAAAAGATAAATGAAAAAAAAAAAAAATTGTGTAATAGACTTGGCAAGCAGCTGCATCTCAAGTATTTTTCTCACTTGGCCTCAGCTTTGGCTCATTAATGGCTTATTCAGCATCAAATAAATTTAAAAATAATTTTTTTCGGTTAGTTATTTCTTTTGATGTTGGTTGAAATTTAATCTAATTTCTATTAGACAAATGTGCATTGTTGTATCATGTGATTGTTTTACTGGTGTATTTGCTGGTTTTGCCGTATTTGCCACGATTGGATATTTGGCAAAAGAATTAAATGAACCAGTTTCAAAATATGCTGATGCATCTGGTCCTGGTTTAGCATTTATAACTTATCCAGAAGCAATTGCACATATGCCAGCTAGTTCATTTTTCTCGATTCTTTTTTTTTTAATGTTACTAGCACTTGGACTTGGTTCACAGGTAATTTCAATATATTTTATTCATCTAATCATTATTTTCAAATTGATTTATGATTAGTTTGCTTTAACAGATGTTCCAATAACATCAATATTGGAATTATTTCCAAGATTTAAATCCAATAGACAATCAGCAGTGATAATTACTTGTATTATTTCATTTTTAATTAGTTTACCATTTACATGTCCAGTTAGTATTTATTTTTTCATGTGATATTGAATTTATTTTAATGTATAGGGTGGTATTTATTTATTTGAATTATTAAATCAATATGCAGCAAATGTATCAATGATTGTTGTTGGATTTTTTGAAGTATATACAATTGCTTATATATATGGTGTGTTTTAATTGTGATGGTTTTGTTTTTCATAACACATTTTTTTCATTATAGGATTTAATCGATTTATGAATGATGTTAAAATGATGTTAGGAAAACGTGCAGCTGAATATTATTTATTTGTAACATGGTGTATCATGGCTCCAATTATTATGCTGGTCAGTTCTAGACTTAAAAAAAACTAAAGATTTTCTTTTTTTTTGTGTTTGAATAAAATCAAGCTTTTTTTTATTAAGGTAATAACATTTTCAAATTTACTGGGTGCTAAACGAATGTCAAATAGCGCTGGTGCTGGTTATGAAGCTTATATATATCCTGATTGGAGTATGGTTGTAGGTTGGTGTATATTTGTTGCTTGTATCATACCTATTCCATTGGTTTTTATTGTCAATTATATTCGAGAATATTATGCTCTTGGTCAAAGAGGAATAGTAAGTTTTCATTGTTCAATTTCTTCTTATTATTATTAGTAATTTGACGAAATACAATAGATTCGAAAAATTGATTCATCAATTGACAATGATCTTTACTATTATAACAAGTATTTCGAAAAACCTCGCTATATGGAAGCATTTACACAAAATAATTCACCTCGATATGATTGGGGACCAAAGAAAAGTGCAAATCATTATGGGTTATATGCTCATTTAAAATCAATCAGATCAAATGAAAACATGGTTCTTGATGCATTAACTAAATCAAGAACCAATGGATATCTAAATGAAAGTTTTCAAGAAGATTACATTACTGATAAAAGTACTCTACAGACGCCAAGAGAACGATTTTAAATTTTTCCAGCGAATAATATAATATCATGGTTATTTTGTTCATTTTAATTGAACTAAAACATAAATTCGATTTATTTTGTTTATTTCTTTATGTTTCATAAATACAACATTAACATTAAAAAAAAAGGTCTAGTTCAATATATTCTTAAGAATTAAGGCATCTTTGAAGTCACACTATATTGCTCGTTTGTCTGAATGATTATCATTATTAATGAGAGAGTTCTCAGCTCGTACATCATCATGTAAAAAAATTTGTTTATGTAATTGATGTAATGTTTTTAACCCCACTAGTTTTTTATCATTTGTATACTCGTCGAATTCTTTGGTTATTCAACCGAGTTTATCGTATAGAATAGAAAAAAAATTCAAATTTTTGAAATATTCAGATATAATTCTATTTGGAGTATAAATATCTCGTAAAAGTTTTAAAAGTTAATGCAATTTGCTTTAATTTTTCGTTGTATCATCATATTCTTTTTTTTTGTTGTATCACAAATTCTCGTTGCACATTCTTGATTACGATGATTTATTCATATAAATATATATATATATATATATAAAGACCATGGAGACCCTTTTCTCGGCTTGAAAACGAAGAGTGTTAATAATTACGTATATAGCAATACATAGTGTTTTATTTACATGGAATGGTGCACCTTGAAAACAAAGTAATAAAGAATTTGCATCTGATTAGGTATAAGACACTTAGACTGAATTTATTGTGACGTAAGTAAGAGTGTTGTTGATCTATGATTAGTGATATGCCTGATATGTTTTCTTTAATGGAAAACTCTCTCTCTCCATTGGTTCTGCACAGAAAGAAGCTTATTTTCTTAGATCTGATAAAAGCCCGTATTTAGGAAAAATAGAGAGTTATCTTTTTTGCAAAAATCAGTTTGTAATCAAAACCCTCATAGACTTCTTCTGCGAATCACTGAATTCATTTTTGAGTACTCTTACAAAAATGTTCGTTATTAGAGTATTTCAAATCTTTAAAATTAGACTTGCTACTAACTTCTTCAATGAGAAGAATAAACTGATAAAATTGATTCAAACTGAGCAATAACATCATGTGCGCACTTGAAGAACATAATTTTGAAAAAATAATTTGTTTCTTTTTTATGAAAATATTAATATAATGGTTCAAAAGTATTCTCATTTGTTAGTTTTGGTCGTAATTTTGGTGATTTTATTAAGTATTGTAAAAATATATTATTACCATGCATTTGAAAAGTTTTTAGCTTCTTTGCAAAACTCTTCCAAAGTGCAACTTTCGTCTGTCTCTGATAGTAGAAAAAAATTGATATTATTATTATTATTATTTTCAATTTATCTGTAATACTAATGCAAAATCTTTTCTCTTTGTGCATGAATTTGAAGTGTTTTTCTAGTTTTCAGTTTATGCATAAAAAAACACCTGATTTGAACAGTTACTAAACACCATATCTTGATTAAAGAATATTGTAACAATAAAAATGCGCCATAAAAACCTATTTAATTCATATGAACAATTTTATAAATCGAAAATGTATATCTTATTGACATACACTGGTTGGAAAGGTGAGATCTTCCAATAAAAGAACAATGCAAAAAGACTTACTAATTAATAACAATTTGATTTGATGAGAAACAAAATTCGTTCAATTCAAGTGGTCAACAGAAACAGAATTATAATTATTTATAGATCATCTAAAAGTTTATACATTAATTAAGCTTTAAATCAAAATCTTTCTAGACTACCCTGAGACTATTACTTCAGAGAAAATACATAAAACGTAAAAAAATTATATTAGTTAAAGATACCATTATCACCGAAATCTGAAACACTCTTTAGTCTGTCGTTTTCTTAACAAAACTCTGCCTTTAAATCAAATTAAAGCTTGTTTAACTGCTATATCTTTAAGAAAATCATATTTTGTACTTTAGCACGCCTTCGAATCTATTGCTTTTCTTTTGTAACTTGAATCTTTAATCATATTTGACAATATGTGTCTTCATTGTTGAGACACTCTTTTATATCTGCTATACGGAAAAATCAACTGAGAATGTTTTTTAGAAATAAATAATGAACAATTTCAGAAGTTTTCATGATGTTCCCTATTGCTACAGCCGAGATTTTGCGTACAAATCAATCAGATACAATTGAGAAATATACAAAGAAATTATCTTTTAAAGAGTTTGATAAGATGTTGCTTACGAATCCTAAAATCTCAAAATCTTAATTACATGACGTTTCACTAGGGCTAACAATAGACATCAGTCACGAACCAGATTTTGTGTAATGGATTTTTATTTAACTGAAGAAACAATTATAATTAGCAAAAATTATTCGAATGTTTGTTTTTCTATCGATAAGACAGATGACGATGTTTGTTGATCTTTGTACATTTTTAATACGTTCCGTACTTGTTGATTTTGACCTATGAATAGAATATTGTCAAAAACAAAAACGATTATTTTAATTAAACATACAAGATGCAAGTGAAGCTGTTCTTCCTTTTCTTCTCAAACGTTGCTTGTGTAATTGATCATTATAATCCAAAGCATCATCCGCTATCGAATTAATTGATTGTTTAGAAAGAAAAATGACTTAAATTCCTACCTTCAAATTGAAATAACATGCCGATAAGAATAGATATGATTGTACCAGTTCTTCCATGTCCACCCCTATTTTGTTAAGTGATAGATTATTTCAAAAAAAACCTTACGAAAATTTATTACCAACAATGAATAAGAATCTTTTGATCATCTTCTGTAATTCGTTTACATAAATCTGAACAAAATTCTAATACTTTTCTATCATCTCGACAAATGAATTGATCACGAATCGGAAATGAAAGAAATTCAACGGGTCGACCATCTATTTATATACAACAATGAACCTTTTTTTTTCATTAAAATTAAAATTAAAAAAGAAAGACCTTGAGTAGCATACTGTCGAATTTCTGGTTCGTATGGAGTAAAACGAGTAAGATCAGTTGGTCGCATTAGATTAACGAATACTTCAATACCACTATCATAAATAGCACGTGTTATAAGTCGATGTTCATCAAGATTTTTTGCACCTGGATATGCACTTGATAAAAGACGTTTTGAAATCACTAAACAGAACCAATGTATTTTATAAACTCAATTATAGAATAATTCGTTTTTTTTGTATTTTTAAAATACAATTTTGTCTCTTTTTTTTGTGTCCCTTCAAGGCAAATAATCATTTTATTCTATACTTCTCGAATAGCCGAAAGACATGAAAAATAAAAAAGCTAAGTTCTCTTTTTCTATTAAATTTTCCATCACACTATAAAAAGTCATCCTTACATCACATAGATTGTTGAGGAAAAAAATTGGCAACATCTTATTAACTATGAGCAGAACATCATTTTTACATTTGAAAGATAATACATTTCTGTACTTATTTTTTTCTCTTTATAAATTGCTTTTCGAATCATGTACTTAAATAAAATTATATTTGATTACACCGTTAAAATATCTCATTCTTAATAATATTTCAATTGATAAACAATGTAAATATCTTACCCCAATGACTTGTTTCAGTGGGACCACAACAAGAAGAATCAATTGTACTGAGTTGCATTACTAATGAATGAAAAAAAAATGATGTAAGCTTATTTTTACTTCTGTTTTCATTTAGTTATTACACCGATGTTGCGCAATGAATGTTCTATCCTGACACATGGTATTGCATGTAGCGCAATTGACAAATAGATCTTTCTTTAGAGCAATGTATCTGTTTGATTCTAGTGATGAGTGAAATTTCTGTGACTTATTTATTTTTAGTTTTGTAAGAAAAAAAGATTATTTCGATACAAGTAAAAGCTTTGCATCAAGTGAATTTAAAAAAGAAATAAAAGTTTGAAGTGAAACAACATTAAAATCTTTCTTCTGAATAAATCGATTTATTTGTCCTTGACTTAATCCAGTTTCTTTTTTTAATATCTTCATCAAGTCTCGGCGTCCACCTTGAGATTTAAGAAGTTTTTGTATTTGTTCAGCAACTCCATTGTGTAAAGGTAAGATAGTATGAGACTTTGAACTTATGGGTTTTGTTAGATTTGTTTCATGAGATGAAGTAGATCGACGATGTTTATGATTATGGTGATGCTTTTTTGATGAACGAATAGATGATGGTAAAACAGGTTCTTTCATTTTGTTTGCTTTAATTATTGCTTTATCGATGTCATCTTCTAAAATATCGTCATCAACTATATCATCATTAACATTATCATCATCGATAACTTTGTGTCGCAAATGGCGATGTTTCTTTTTGTGACGTTCTTTGCTAAAACTCATTTTATTTCTTCGAGTTCGTAAATTGATTTTTTGTGAACTGCTGCCTTTACCAGTCGTTTTTGGAGAATCTTCATCATTATCTGTTAATGATGCGTGATCATTGATTATATCATTATTATTAACATTATTGTTGTTCTTATTATTATCATCATCATTATTGTTAACATTAGCAGTAGCATCTTGGGAAGAAGATGCCGATGAAGAATCTTTCATTGTTGATGCTTGGGATGATTCATCTTTTTCATTTAGTCTTTGTTGAATGGCAAGTGCTGTGTGCTGAACACGAGCATTTGATGTTAATAATCGAACTACTAAAACATCGCGCTTGATCCATATTATGCAAATTAAAAATAAAATAGCCACACACAGAATTGGTTTTGTAAGATCCACTTTAGTATACCATGGACGTTTTTTTATAGCGATTTTTCTGAATTCCTCATCACTCTAAAATAAATTCAGAACGAAATTATAGAAATAAAATAAAATAACATGAGATTTATACAAATTTTAACTTTTCAAAGCATTCTTAGTTTTTTTTTTTTAGTGAGTGAAGATATCTTTGAAAAAAGTGAATTACCATTGGTGCGATTGTAGCTCGTCTTTTCTTTTTAAGTTTTCCTGTTAGTGGATTGTCGGAGGCCGAGCCATCTCGATCATTTATACTATCAACTGAAGGAGAATTTATTGTTAATAAATTTCGTCTGCGGTCACTTGTTTGTGGCGAAAGAAGGTCCATTTCAGATGTTTTAGATAAATTTTCTTGATATTGTCGAGAACTATCGACTGATAATGATTCATCTTCGTCTGTAATCAATGATTGACTGTTTGTTTTCTGGCTATGCTTACCATCTTCACTATCGAGACTATTGTTTTTAAGAATTATTAAACGTTCCACCATAACTTGAATTCTTCTTAGTATTTTACTAAAATTGACAAATAATCTACGATTTTAAACACGATTAATTAGAAAGCAAAAAAAAACAAATTTTACTTCAAAACAAGAGAACAGTATCCTTCGAGAATAATCACTACCTTTATATGTCTTTACAAACGGAAAACAATCCTTGTTGGTATGCAGTGCGCATTTATTCACGGTTGATTGCTTTTATAGTAGCAGTTGAATTGCATTTTTCTTTTTTTCTTTTATGCGTCGAGGCAGTAAACATTTTTTTGCATGTCAAGGACGACATTAACACTAATATTAATCATAGATAATAAATACTTATAATAAAACATTGTTAAGTAACCAATATTTCGTTTTTGAGATCAATGAATCAGCTGATAAAATCTTAAACTATGAAATAAAATTTTTTTTTTAAAGATATCCTAAATGAAAGGATTACATTTTTCAATCAAATACAAGCAATATCAATAAATCGATCATTCATCATAATTAAATAGAAATTTCTCATTGCTAAATTTCGAGAACTATCATGATAACTTTTCAAATGTCTTACATATAAGTCTAATAAAAAAATACTTTTGTCCTTTTATTTTCTATATAAAAATATTTTGCATAGGTGTCACTAATAGAAATGTTCATATATTAATCATTGGATATAAGTATTTCTACTGTATCATTAATGACTATCTTTTGATTTAATCGTAAAAATGACGGAACAAGAAGAAAAGAATATTCGTCTAGTCAAAGAATATATGCAAATCAGGTAGAAATATATGTATTCCAGCTACAATTTCCATAAAAAAAACTTTTGTTTCCTTTGATTTAATTTTGACGAAAAATAAATATTGAACATTTTAGCTACGATTCTGAACGTTCATCATCAAAAAATGTTGCTTATCTTGTTGCTTCAGATAATAAATTTATTGCACCAACAACATTTCTTAATACACATAATTGTCAAGCATATGCTGATGAACATGGGTGTATGCTTATTGTGGAAATTTTATTATCGTCGATGAGTTTTTTTTTTCTTTAGAATTAATGAAAAGTATAAATGATTTAAGAATAACTGAAATTGATTATTTAATTGCCAAAGATGATCAAGTTGCATTGTGTTATTCAACTGAAGGAAGTCATTGTAGATAACCTTATAACGGTATCATTATTACAAATTAATTTATTCACGAAAATATTTTTATTCTGAATAGGAATTCCGGCAATAGGACGAAAAGCCAAATGGACAGCTGCTGCATTGTATAAATTCAATAGCGAAGGAAAAATTACATTGTAGGTGATGTTTTTTTGTTATTTTTCTATTTACAATAAAATGTTTCAATCTATTAATTAGGTTTATTAAAGAATGGGATAAATTATTGATGTGGAAGCAATTGGGTTTTCCATTAGAAGAAGCAACAAAAATTCCATCAACGTAATTTCAAAATTTTCGTCAATGTTCATTATTCTTGCAATCAATTCTTGATTTTATACGTTATTCTTTATATTTATTTGAGCAATTTTTTTATATTAAATATTTCTTATGAAAAAATACAATTCATCATTGAAATGATGTTCAATATATTGAACAAGTTTTTCTTCTTGTTTGGAATTATTTATAATTCAGGGTGTTCCATAACTAACGAAACGCTGTATTTTTTCACTTTCTTCTTTGCACATGATTAGTTGGGCCTTATATTTACATGACATAAAGTAGATGATATTAGTAAAACATGTAATATATGATCAGTGTGTGAATGCAGTAATTTGTTCAAAAGTGTGCAAATAAATCTTACTGCTCGTCTGCAACTAAAAGAGAAATCTGATATTTTTCGATCTTTTTATTTTCTTTTAATGATTCTAAGCTGTGAAATGGATCCGATTTAATTACACTTTGTACTGTTTTAGTCTAGAAAAAGTCAAAACTAATTAAATGGTATTCATTTCATATATCGGATTAATAAGACGAAACTATGGAAATCGAAAAACATTCAATGTTTCTTATAGTCACAGACGAGTAGATATATTTCCACGCTTTTGAACAAATGATTTCATCCAACAACTGATCATGTGCTATATTTTTGACTAGTATCATCTAGTATATGTGGTATAAATATGAGGCCTAACTGACCTTGTACGACGAACAAATACAATGTTCCCCTACGTTTGGACCACTCAGTGCTTGTCTTTTATTTACTAATGAATTAATAGTATACCGTTTTTTAAGAATATCAATGATTTTCCTATCAAAGTGTATGTAAAGATTTTGTATGATATCCTCACGACCACAACAATTGATATCTAATTTTTTTTTAATTTGATTATCAATACATCAAGAGCCAAATTTCTTAGGTATGCCATGATTGCTAGTTGGTAATATTTAATTGTAGACTGCAATGCCTTTGTGAAAAAAAAAGAAATCTATCTTATACACTGATGTTGAGCAAATCGTTAAATTAGATTCGATGTAAATCTATAAAAATTATTCACTAATGATAGGACAATGAATAAGGATGAAAGACATATTAAGGAAAAGATAGATTAATTGTGACTGTATGCAAGACATCTTGAATAAAATCTGTATAAGATTTCTTATTCTTTAGAAAGAACAAAACCAAATCAATTGAATATTTATAAAATCCAATTATTTGTCTCTCACATATATAAGAGTGGAAAATGTGTGTCGAACAACTGAAAAATAAGAATACTTCATCAATGTTTAATAATTCTATGATCTTCAAAATAAAAGACCAATATCAACAATATTTTTGCTTACACTTCTATGTTAATGAACTAATATGTTGACATGAATGCGCGCGTATGAAAACTATTTGGCTATGATGAACAACGGAAGCGTGAGAGTATTAATAGTCAACTCTTGATTCCTTGAAGACTTATCATAGTTTTGTCGATAAATTGTCGAAAATTTGAGAGTTCTTAGTCTTAGTTGTTTGATGTTACTGAAACAGGAGTAAAAGAAAAATTTTTGTATTGAAGAAGAAAATTGACGCCAAAAGTACAGAATATTTATCCGATTATATGGCACCGGATCAAATATACATGTCATCTCATTTCAGGTGAAAATACCTTTTAAAACAGTTTATTATTGAATGTGATTATTCTATTTCAATTCGAGTTCTCTTCAATGTATGATTAGGTATCACTAGTTAGTAAATACAAAAAAAGGATATATAATAGCAAAGGTTCAATACATTTATAATTAAATGGAAGAATATTTGGTTTGTCATTTGTTTTGGTCAGAGGAACAGATTTCATAAAAAAATAGAGATTTCCTTATCTTCTCTGATCAAGTTTTTATATTTTGTCCTATTTTAAGATCTTAGGAATTTTGTTTTTTTTCTTTCCTTTTGTTTCCTGTTTGACAATATTCCACTAAAAAAATGTTCATGTTTTCAATAAATTCTACGTATTTAGTCATATTCAATAGCTTTAGTAAAAATATTTTGACTTTCAATAGTTAAATATCGTAATAGGAAAAAAGTGAAAAGTAAAAATATTTGTTAGCTCTTATTTAATAAAATCTATATGACCCTTAACGCGTTGTTTCTTTTTGATAAATCACCAATATAAATATTTTGAACCATTTTTTCATTGGTATCTACAAAGTAGTAATGCTTGTTTAAAAATTTCATTTGCTCGAATTATAACATATATAAGCTTATTTAAATATAAAATAAAATATTATTTACACTTGAATTGAAAATAACAATCCAATTTATCTTCGAAAAAATGTTTACAGTCATCAGTATATGTACACTTAGACATATCCCAAATAGGTTAATATCATAAGGACCGATCAATATCGGTCGAAAACGGAATGAAATTTTTCGATCAACATTGAAACTTCTCGTCAGTTATGCTGAAGAAAAATAGTTCCTTCTCACTCGTGAAGAGTCGTATCAGTTTCTTCTCTAAATCCTCCGCTCAAACAACTTCGTATATGTTATGACGAATTTTGCCTATATCGGCTTTTTAAAAAAAACTAACACTTCTGAATGTTAAGTTTATTGGATCTGAACAGATCTTATTGAAATCTTGTCTGTAAACCTTAGAATCATCAAGTTAAAACAAGAAACAGCAGCGTAATTTAAATAGAATAATTCTCAACATTTTGTTGACACTGTTTGAAAATCTAATTACCATTATTGTCTTTTTTTTCTTTATATAAAAAAGGTTTTCTTTTTTTTTGTGGAAATTGGAAACGTTTTCTTTTTTTTTTTTTACTCAAAGGCATTTATCAGTTATATGGAAACTATATACGTTTTTCGATGAAAATGAGTAAATGCAAGGTTAAGTAGAAGTTTTTCTAGCTATCCACTCTCCCATAGCCATTGCACTCAAAGATCAATGAGTAAGCACTTCTCCCTTTTACTTTCTGACTCTAGCAACACGAATGGAAAGCAAATCGGTAACACAAACAAAGCAGTAGACAAATAACGAAAATATGGTTAGAATCTTCTAGAATGTTTTGGAGTCCTAAGTAATCATTCAAGTCATATCAGTCTGTTTCAATTGTCAATGATACATTTTTCGGCATTCAAAACAGGACTGATGCTAGCTTTTTATGTATATAAATGATTTCTTGAGGCTGCTAATACTTTATGTATGACAATATATTTTATAGACAACATTCGCAGTGAAACGATAATGCATCCACTATTGGTATAAAAGATATTAAATAATTATGCTCTAACTTCCAAAATCAATATGAACATTCCAGAGTTCATGAAAATCTACAGAATAACGTGCTTTGAAATTCATCATGTAATTAAGTGCATGTGAACTAGAAGCTTGCGAACTATGGATCGGATCTCTGTATTCGTATATGTATCAGCGTTCGAAATTTAGTGACGGCTATACATAGTTGAGATATCTTCACAAAAAAAGCAGCAATGATGAATCTTTCAAAATTTTGTGTTGTACCCGAACATAGAATTCTTTCAAAATTGATCGGTGCGACGAAAAATAATTATCTACAAAGAGGTAAAAGCTATTTCTATAAGCGTAATTTTTTTTAGAGAGTTTTACCATTGAATATAAGGTAGAATACCAAAGATTCTTCAGAGTGGATTTGATTTTCTAGAGTATGAGCACGACATCCTTACAAAAATTCATAGTACTGTAGTGTTTCAGAGCTCGGGTAGTGGCTTCTGGAAAAAAGTTATTTATATTTGATAAATCGGATGCACATATAATTATCTTTAGTTGTATTTAACGTCCATTTGAATATAATTCTTTATTTGCCTTAAATCAAAATAACGACAAAAATACATTTACATTGTCAATTATGAATACGGGTCGAGTATAAACGAAATGCTATTTTGAATGGTATGGATCCGAGCAGCCTACGAGAGTACGTTAAGTTGTACTGGTGCAGTAATCTGAGATAAACAACATTCGAATGCACAAGATACATTGGAGAAAAAAGAATAAGAAGATTTTTAAAATTCAGAAAAAAAACTGAAATGTAAATAGATAGTAAAAAAAAATATAAAACTTTATTAAAACAAGATAGACTGTCAATGAGACAAAAGACATGTATATATGAAATAAAGAACGGAGTATCTCTGTCAATGATACATTCTGGCAAAGAAGTTTCATATACTTGAGACACTTTGAATTAGATATTTCATATGTTATAATAAGGAAATTGAAGAGGACAAGTGAACGTCACATTTCAACTCACGAGAGGTTCCACTGATAAATTTTTCTCTCTAGAAAAATGTTCTTATGATGAAACTGCATTTTCATCTTTTGAGGAAGCAATATTCAACGTTGTCTTGTTTACCGATAGAATGAAGAGAAAAAAAAAAGATCGCATTTATTCTGTCATTTTTTTTTTCTCTTCACTAATCTTTGCTCATACTGACAAAGAACAACTTTCTAGACAAGTATAAAACTTAAAGTATGTCTCGATTTTATTTATTCTATTTTTTTGCAATTAATTTAGAAGAAAAAAATTAGTTATTCTAATGACAGAACATATAGATAATGATCGATTACATGAAGATATTCATTATCGTTTTGATTATTTTTCAAAATTTATTAGTTTTACATCAGAAGATATATCAGCATTAAATATGTTTGCATCATCAGCAGCTTCAGTTATTCCAGTTATTGTTGATTCAGTTTATAGAAAATTATTTCAATATGATATAACAAAAACTTATTTTATTATACATAATGATGTTTTTGATGGACATTCAAAAAAAAATGAAAATATTTCACTAGATTCAGCACAAATGGTTTACCGAAGAGATATGTTAAGTGGTTATTTGAAACGATTACTTTTACAACGTCAATGGACAAATGAATTTCTTGCATATCTTTCGAGAGTTGGTCGAATGCATACAAATAAAGTTGGTGCAGCATCAATTAATGTTGATTTTATTCATATTAATGCTACATTAGCTTATAT